TTAATGACGTTTCTTTGAAATCTTTATAAAGTCACCATGTTAACTTTTCTTGACAAATTTAGATCGTATTAAATACAATTAATATAATCGAATCCTTCTAATTGGCATCTAATAAGGCATACTCGGATCATTAATTTATTTCTCTAAATAACGTTAAACATATGATGCATTAATTCTCTATATATCAATTTTATTAGATATTTAATAACATGTAACTTATTCATAGAAAATCATCATGATCGTAAGGTAAAATTTTAAAAGATATTTAAATTTTATAGAAATTTTAAAGTATTTATAATATTTAAATTCTATGAAAAGTTTATGATATTAATAATATAGATGAACTCTATAAAATTTAGAAATATTTATTGTAGAAACTATTTGAAAGCAAACTTTTAAATTGACTTGATGTTTAATTTCATAGAACGGGATTATATGGTGGGACGGGTTTAGGTGATTAGGTCGATATTAATATGGGACGATATACCACGGGTAAAATCCTAGAATTACGTATTAACAATCAAAATACAATTATATACTCTTAAACACTAAACAAAACAAATATAATTTAAATTTCAAATTTTTTATGCGACAAAAAATCAATATGCAATGTACAACAAAAAAATATTATACACAACAATCAGTTTATAAAAAACAATCAAATAATTAACCCGCGGGTCATATCCTAGTGTTTCATTATAATACAATACAACACTTATTATAAATATGATTTGATTTTTACTGTAAATACAAAAAAAAAATAAAGGGCATGAAGGTAATGAGAGATGGAAGATTTCCTTGATTATTGACAGAGTTAATACATGGCTTTATAGCCTGAGTTGTTACACAAAAATAGGAACGGTTCCTCATATCTTGGAACGTACAAACAATATTAACAGAGTCCTAAAATAATGTAACAGAATATATTATTTGGCTATCACCCTCCCTCAGTCACAGCGGCGGAACGACGGTGAGGCTGGAACGGAATTCAGAGTGCAGCGAGGAGGGAAGGCCTTTGGTAAAAATGTCTGCGTATTGAAGTGAAGTAGGCACGTGCAAAACCTTAACTTCTCCTATGGCAACTTTATCGCGAACAAAATGGATATCAAGTTCTATATGCTTGGTCCGCTGATGTTTAACTGGATTCGTTGAGAGGTATACGGAGCCTATGTTGTCGCAATACACCACTGAAGCACTTTTGATAGGGCGATGGAGTTCAAGCAGCAAATTGCGTATCCACGTGAGTTCAGCCACCGTGTTTGCGACACCCTTATATTCTGCCTCGGAGCTTGATCGTGCGGGTGTCGGTTGTCTTTTAGCGGACCAGGATACCAAGTTGGGATTAAGAAAAACACAGTATCCGGAAGTCGATCGGCGAGTGTCGGGGCATCCTGCCCAATCGGCATCAGAATAAGCCGTGAGAGTATCAAGTTGTCCTCGGACCATCTGAATGCCATGTGTCAACGTGCCTTTGATGTAGCGAATGATGCGTTTCAGGGCTTGAAGATGAGGGACTCGCGGCTTGTGCATATATAGACAGACCTGATGAACAGCGTATGATATATCGGGCCGAGTGAGTGTCAGATATTGCAGTGCTCTCGCCAATTATCTGTAAACCGTTGGATTTTGAAGGAGTTCGCCTTCGTCGATCGGTAGCTTAGATTTCAAATCCACGGGTGTGGCGAGAGGCTTACAACCTGTCATACCTGCTCGTGTAATGATATCCTCGGCGTAGAGAGTCTGCGACAAGAAGAGTCCCTTGGTATTGAAATCTGCCTTGATCCCCAAGAAATGATGTAGTTTCCCCAAGTCCGTCATGGGAAAGGCCGTTTTCAGCTTGTCGATGATTCGCTGGATTAACACGTGGGAAGAAGCGGTAAGCAGGATATCGTCGACATAGAGGAGGAGGTATGCGAAATCTCTGTTTTTCTTGAAAATAAAAAGAGAAGAGTCGGCTCGACTTTGTGTAAAGCCCATGAGTTTCAGGAATGTAGAGAACTTCGTGTTCCAAGCCCGCGGGGCTTGCTTTAGTCCATAAATCGCTTTGTTGAGCTTGCAAACATAACCCGGATGCATCTTATCCACAAATCATGGCGGTTGATGCATATACACCATCTCGTCAAGATCGCCTTGGAGAAACGCGTTTTTGACATCAAGTTGATGAATAGGCCAATTCAAAGCAACTCCGACGTTAAGAACTGTGCGTATTGTCGCCGGTTTGACAACCGGGCTGAACGTCTCTGTAAAATCAACACCTTCTTCTTGTGATTTACCATTAGCCACCAACCTTGCTTTATGTCTAGACAAAACATCATTAGCATCATATTTATGTTTAAAGAGCCACATGGACCGGACGATATTAACATTAGGAGGCCTTGGTACTAAGCTCCAAGTCTTAGTCTTAATCATAGCACCATGTTCATCCGTCATTGGGGGATTCCAGTTTGGATCGGAAAGAGCATGGAGATGGCTTTTAGGGATTGGCGACTTGGTTTTGGCAAGAAGGGAAAAGATTGTTTGGGCTTAGAGATACCAGACCTGGATCGTGTTTGGATAGAGTATGGGGCTCTAAACATTGGATCGGGCCTATGAGCTTGGGCTCTAGAAGGAATATGGGGAAGAGATGTGTTTCGAAACGGTGCTTGAAGAATCGTTTGGATCAGAGGAGACGGGTCGTCCGTGACCTCAAGGAAGTGATAAGTGTTTGTGGGTAGAGAAGAGACGGCGCCGGGAAACTTGTCCTCATCAAAAAACACATGGCGAGAGATGATGATTTTGTTGCTTTTTAAGTCCAAGCAACGGTATCCTCGATGTTGGGAAGGATACCCAAGAAAGAGGCACGGGGTTGTTCTTGGAGAAAGCTTTGGTAGGTTTGAGTGGTTTAGGTTCGGAAAGCACAAACACCCAAAGACACGTAAGTGTTCATAGGTAGGTTTTCGGCGAAAGAGAAGAGTATGTGGAATTTGATTTCGAATGGCTTTGGATGGAGTGATGTTTAGGACATGCACATCAGCATGAAGAGCCTCAACCCAAAAAGATTCTGGGAGGCGAGCTTGAAACAAGAGTGTTCGAACCGCATTGTTGATGGTTCGAATCATTCTCTCGGAACGACCGTTCTGCTGTGATGTATGAGGGCAAGAAAATCGGAAAGAAATACCCTTTGAAGCACAATATTTGTGAAATTCAGTGTTGTTGTATTCACCACCATTATCACATTGCACATTCTTGATCTTTTCTGAAAAATGAGTTTCAACGTAAGCAGAAAAATGAAGAAACTTGGATAGAACTTCACTCTTACGTCGAAGAGGATAAACCCATAAATAGTGTGTAAACTGATCAAGAAATAGAACATAGTATCTAATTCCACTTAAGCTTAGAACAGGTGATGTCCACAAGTCCGAATGGATAATCTCAAACTGTTTTGAAACCGTTGATAGCAAAGGAACAAAAGGCAATTTTATTGATTTCCCAAGAAAGCAAGGTTCACAAGATGAAAGGCTTCCCTTATTACATAAACCCGGATTCGAACGAATAATGGAATTAAGAGTAAAAACATTGGAATGCCCTAATCTTTTGTGCCAAAGATCAGGCGTAGAAGCTAACAAAGCTGAAGAGATGGGCGGCGCTTTATTAAAGGAAGACGGAAGGGAGTACAAGTCGCCGGAGCTATCACATCGGAGAAGGGCTTTCCGGGTTTGAAGGTCCTTCACAGTAAAACCAAAGGGGTCAAAATCCACTGAGCACCAATTATCTCTAGTGAATTTACGAACAGAAATGAGATTCTTAACAATATCCGGAGTTACGAGAACATTGTTAAGCAACAGAGGTTTGGTGTTTGATCTAACAGAAGTGGAACCTATGGTTGTGACAGGAATGGAAGAACCGTTTCCTACAATGACAGACTCGGAGGTGCTATGTTTAAGATTAGATTGAAGCATACCTGCAGAAGTGGCTAGATGTGATGATGCCCCGAGTCCATGTACCAGTCGGAGCCTGGTGGAGCTGTAACCGAGTCTGAGGTATATGCTTGCATCGGGTTGAACTCAACCAAATTAGCCTGCTGAGGAGGGGCCAGTGGTGCTGGAGAAATATGCGGCCAACCTTGGTATGGCTGCATCCAGTAAGGAGGCGGTGGTGGTGGCCAATATGGCGACGCACCCCAGGGATTTCGGTTTGAGGAATTACCGCGGCCTCTGTTGAATCCACGACCGCCACGACGATTGCCTCTCTGATTGCCGTTGTTGCGTCCTTTGTTCGAACCATTGCGATTCTGCTGCGTCGAGGAAGCAGTGAGAGCTGTAGAAGATGAAGACGATTCGGCATTAGAGGCTATGGCACGGGGCGCTTTCTTAAGCCTCTTTTCCTCCCATTCAAGCATCGTTTTGGCAGTATCAAACGATGGGAATGGATCCTTGTGTTTGATAACATTGATTATGTTATCGAATTTCTCGTTAAGTCCATTGATGATATACATAACGAGAGTACGATCTGTGATCGGAGAGCCGACGTTGGAAAGGAGAGCAGCCGTTGATTTCATCTTCTGGCAATAGTCAGCGACCCCTAGATCTCCGATCTCCAATGTGCGCAATTCGTTATCAAGTTGAATTGAGCGTGCCTCCTTGTTGTTGCAAAACTGATTTTCCACTCGTAACCATAGGTCACGGGCGTTGCCGCAAGCTTAGAAGGAATGTTGAAACAGCTGCGGAGTCATTGTGCCATAAAGCCAAAGCTTGACAACGTTATCCCTTTTCATCCAGGCGTCATCATTTGCGTTAGCAGGTTGTGATGTGGCTTCTAGATGGCCGGAAACTTCATAGGCCATACAGTGCATGAGAAGAAGCTCACGCCAAGCATCGTAATTGTGCTCGTTTTCATCAAGAAGGATCAGGATCTGGTTCTTGATGTTTGTGACGCCGAAACATCGCTCGTTTGGAGCATTTGCAGCAGCCATTAATGGCGATTGAAGGAAAGAAGAAGCAGAAAAAAAATAGAGATAGATAAGAGATGAAGAATCAGAACCGTAGAAGCTCTGATACCATTGGAAGATTTCCTTGATTATTGACAGAGTTAATATATGGTTTTATAGCCTTAGTTGTTACACAAAAATAGGAACGGTTCCTCATATCTTGGAACGTACAAACAATATTAACAGAGTCCTAAAATAATGTAACAGAATATATTATTTGGCTATCAGGTAAATGAATGCGCACTCCTTAGGTGTTTAATTTTAACAAGGATAATTGCAGTAACAAAACACGGAGTCTCGTTTGTCGTGTGGTCTGTCTCCTGGACGGCAATCACCATATCCTTGATATTTCCGTGCACAATTAGCTTCACATCTTAGGAAAGCACACGTATTATTTTTGTTAAATATACGCTTAAGACATGGTACTTTTCCTTGGACTCCTATTCCTGTAATTCTTCAAACATAAAATATCAGTTTCTTTGCCCAAAAAAAAAAAAAAAAATATATATATCAGTTTCTAGTCTAAGTGACAATATCTTAATTAGTAAAGACTCTCAGACAAAGTTTAGAGAGCGCCGGTTCGCATGACTCTTGAGAAAAAATCATATAATATATTCTGGTATTTGGTCTGAAGGGATGTACGGGGCTAGGCCCACAATGTCTTAATTATTAAAAAAAAATCAGTTTTTATGTTCAAATTATAAGATTGTTATAATAAACTCTAATTTATTTATTTTTTGATCTATTGATTATTTTTGAGATAATATAAATCGGAACTAAAAAATAATAATTATATACATTAGTTTGAACTACATATCATTTTTTTTAATCACATGGTATTTGTAATACTTTTCATTTAGAACAAACCTAGTATCAGAATGGAGAAGATAAGTAGAACGGCTACCGAGACTTGAGAGAGATTCCTCATCTTTAAAGATATAAATGAATTGATGGTTTTTGAAAATTAAAAAGAAACAAAAACATGTACTTATTTATGTAAAGTTAAAGTTACATGTATCTCACATTCAAATATGTCTAATTTAAGCAATTAACTTCCGATTTAAAGGGATCATGCTTTACACAATTCCGGAAATATAACATAGAAAAAAAGCTTAAAATAGATTTCTAAATTAAAGATATATATTTATATTTATTCCAAAACTGGAAGTAAAATTAATTTACCATATATCATTTTGCTATGTTATTTAATTAGAATTCGAGTTGTACATAGTAAAACCTCTATAAATTAATAATGTTGGGACCAAGAAATTTTATTAATTTAAAGAGGTATTAATTTATCGATAAATTATTAATTATTAACTTATAGAGAGATTTTCTTAATTTTGTAATTTCTTACAAAAATTTCTATCTAAAAATAAATTTTTACTTTATAAACAATATCTTTTTAAAACTAATTACAAGTGGAGAAACAATTATTAAGTTTAAAAAACAACACAAACTTTTTTCGAATAATAGAGTCATATTTCATCAAATGTTTTACATATAATATATTAAATATATATTATAGTAATTCATATATTACATATATAAATTTATAATATATATATATATATATATATTGAGAAGTTAATACAATTATTAATTTATGATATAGATGGGACCATATGTTTACATGAGATTTTCAAAAAAATTATTATCTTATTAATTTATCGATTTATGTCATATTTTACACTAGTTCCAACTCGGGATCGAAAAAATTTATTAATTTAGAGAGGTTATTAATTTATAGAAGTTTCACTGTATGTCCAAGTATGAAGAAATATATATAAAATCAAGTATGAAGACAAACAAATGAGCTTAACCAAGAACTAGTGTTGATAGATCATGGAAACTATTTGTGCGACATATGGAAACCCATTAGGCTAGTGAAGAGGCCAGTTGGCCCAAAAACCCGGCTTTGACTCAAAAGATTAGTTATTGAATTTCAGCTTCGTCAATCAATAAAACTTTTAACAATTTATAGGCCACTGTAAATATAATGACAACAGTTGGTTCATTCTCCTAAAACTTATTTGGTGAAAATCAATTGCAAACAATATAGTATCTTTTCTTTTTTTGATCAATATAGTATCTCTTTTTTTTTTTTGTTTATCAAAGTATCTCTTTTCTTAATCTTGTAAACTATAGTATAATTTAGAGTATTTACAAGCGGTGACCATAGAAGACCCAATAATTAGGTGAGACTTTTGGTCACTATTTACACAGTGCAAAAACATATAAAGTTACATCACTATCATTCTCTCTATTTTTTCTTTATATTACTCTTTCATCTATTCTTTCATGTCTTCTTCCTCTTCTATCTTTTTTTTTTCCCATCAATGAGATTCTCAAATTATCATGAAAATTTTGGAACAAACCTCTGTGTTTTAAAAATTACATAGTCAATTTGATTTTATGTTGGAGAAAGACAACCAGTAGTGGTGATTCTTATTTCGATTATGTGTCGGGCGGTGGTGATTGTAAGTGGTGTTTATTTCTATTTAAATTGGATTCTTAACAATGGTGGAGATGATATTTACGATGATAGTGGTGATGATTATATTATCGGTGGTGGTGAGTTTTGGAAAAAAAGAAGTGTCGTGAATGGAATCGTGGATTCAGATGGCGTCGGAGAGATGCGGCAAGCTAAAGGATTTTATGGTGATAGCGTTGGAGAAGATGCGAGAGCTAAAAAGGTTTATAAGCGACAACGTCTTCTCCGTCTATCTTGTCGGTGAACAGATCTAAAACAAAACATATTATATTTCACTGTTAGTTATTTTCATTGTTATCACGTTAACTTCGTTATCAATTATTATTAATGAATATTATGTGTAAGTTACATGTTAATATAAATATTATCCACATATCGACTATTTTACCGTGTTCATACAACTGTTATTCGGATATTTAATATGTTAGCATGTTATTATTCTATTTAACATGTTGTTATAATTGTTATCATGTTAATTATGTAAAAAAAATCTAATTTTTTCATTGTTTTGATATATACATAAATAAAAAGTATTGATTCATAATTTCAAATCGATAAATATTTATTTTAACACATAATAAGTAAATTTATCGTGACATCATACTTTTTAGCACGTCAAAAAAAGTTTATCATGTCAATGACATTTATGTAATTAAACTAAATGAAAATGATATTTATGGTTTATTTTTATTTTCTCTTTCCTATTTATTTAATATTTAAATTATCAATATTATAAAACTAATAAACTACTCTTATATGTATTTAGATTAAATTAACCCTATAATTTATTAGTCTTCTATACGGGAACGCGTAAGATTCTGTTTGATCGTGAGATAAAAGAAAAATGCTCTTTTTAATCTGTGGGTAAAAACTAAAAAGGTAAAAGAGTCATGTTATGGCTGGATCTGACGGCCCACGTGTCGCTCGCAGTCGATCTCTTTTCACTTTTGGTCCCAGTAAGGCCGTCCATAGGGAGACATCTTCCCATGCTTTTGGACATTTGTGAAAACAAAATAGTATATTATTATTAGAACAAAGAATTATTACAAATGTTACTTTCATCTAATTTTACTGTGGTAAGATAAAGTTTTAAATTGACTTGTTGTTCTGATCTTGGTGCAAGTAACCTCCAGTTTTGCCCATTCCATGGACTTGGAGAATGAAACTATAACTTCGATCCCAAAATGTGCCTCCTGTCATAATGAAATAACTGGCCAGATTTTCAAAAGGTGACCACTTGTCTATCATCCATAATCATCAATCCCTTATTCTATTTCCAATTTTTAAAGTTTTTGTTCTATTGTTGAAACGAGTAAGTTTGATTTGATCATTTGAAATGAATGGGTGAATATGCATGGATTCTAAGAGTTTGTCATGATACTTTACATAAAAATCTAAATAATTACCAATTTGTTACCTTGTGATAATTTCACGGATCTCGAGCCTAGGATACTTTAATTTATAGGTCCCATTTCAATGACTCATCATCCTTATCTATATCTCTGTCATCTTCCATTCCACCTTGCACTTTTTTTTATTTGCATACCCTCCTCACTCCTTTTCTTTTGTCCTAAAATTAATTTCAAAATTTGTATACTTTTTAATTTGGAATCTTCCGATTTCTTAAACTAAACATTGAATGATAAATATTTAAGTACAAAATTTAGGATTATAGTGAAAAACTAAACTAATAAATTTTATTCAGTAAAAAAAAACAACCAGTAAAATAAAGTCACCAAACTTTTTAAATGGCGTGGCCGGTAGTGAATTTTTTTTTTATAATGTATAAATAAAATCAAGATATTTTGATAAGGTGTCTGTCTATAAAAGTCATATACCACCACCAAAAGTGTTTCACTGTCTACAAAATCATTGAAGAGGAACCAAAAAAAAAAGATGGTTCTGCTAGAGAAGCTTTGGGATGATGTTGTGGCTGGACCTCAGCCTGACCGTGGCCTTGGCCGCCTCCGTAAGATCACCACCCAACCCATTAATATCAGAGGTAACTATCTATTTATACGTTCAAACACTTGAAGCTTAATCAAAAATTTAGAATAAGAAAATATAACTAGTATGTTTTGTTGGCATGCAAGATATAGGAGAAGGGAGCAGTAAGGTGATGCATAGGTCGTTGACCATGCCGGCGGCAGTTAGCCCCGGAACTCCGACGACTCCGACGACTCCGACCACTCCACGTAAGGATAACGTGTGGAGGAGTGTCTTTAATCCGGGAAGCAACCTCGCCACTAGAGCTATCGGCTCCAACATCTTCGATAAACCAACCCATCCAAATTCTCCCTCCGTCTACGACTGGTAACTACTATTTTTATGTTATTTTATTTCATATAGTACATGATTATAACATAGTCTTAGACTCTTAGTCGATGTCGTAGTATAGAGAGAAACAAGTTATGTGATCGACTTAACCTTTAAGATTTATGACTTATGAAACAAAGAACCGGATTAATCTAGGAACGGTTAGGTTGGTTTAGTCCGGTTATTGATTTTTTAACATAATTATCTGAATATTTTGGTATGTGTCAGCGTTGATAACGAAGCTCAAAGGAAGGAACATGTGGCACTGTGTTTAGTGGGCGCTTGGATTAAATGACTATTTTTATTCTGGTTTTACCAAATCAACCTTCCTTTTTGTGCATATATGGTATAATATCATTAACTCTTTAACTCATAACCAAAGTTTTTTTTTTTTTTTTTTTTGGTTTAACATAACCAAAGTTTTTAGAGTGCTAATCACATCCTTTGATTTTCTAAAGTATTGAAGATTGCTGATCGGAGGGTTCAGATCAGAAGTTGATAGTTCACTAATTGATCGCACGTGTGGTGTTCGCAGGTTGTACAGTAGTGAGTCAAGGAGTCAGCACCATTAAGGATGGTCCGATGGAGTGTGACATGCGGGTGATGTAAATACGGTGACCAGATCTTTCGCCACGTGTCTGTTTAGTTACTTTTTACTATTTACCTTAGTTTTTTTTTACTGTTTTTGTGTACTTTATCAGAGTGGATAAAGTGACGGGGGATGTTTTTCTTTTGTGCATAAAACTGTCTCCCACCTGGCACCTACGCAATGTGTGTTCGTTTCTGTTTTGGGCTGTGTTTTGCAAGTTTTTTCTTTTTGTATTTTAGAGTTGTGTAGTGTAGTTGCAAGTGGCGGTTGGATCTTTCACTATCTTGTTGGATTTTGATGATGGTTGATGCGTTTGCTTTAATGTTCAATAAATAAGCATATTTTTGCTAGTTACCATTGCATCAGTTCACATTTCCTAGTTTTCTTGTACAATATCGTATCAAGAATTCTTGCGGAGGTTGATGAGTGACGTACGTTGTTGTTGAGACAATTGTTTTGTTCTAGCCATTGTCAATTTTTTCTTATTAAGCTAATGCTAGCAGGCTGTCTCAATATATAGTGGGGTCTCCGGCAAAACCAAATGAATAACTAAAACTTCTTAGTAAAAAGTTTTTTTTTTAAAAACATTGGGTCTTTTTAACCTTGGGATTTTTTTTGAAATTAATATTGAATCCATGACATTTGTCTATTTTGCCAAGGGGTAGAGACCCTCAATGCTAGTAATATAATCTCAAAGACTTAAAACAAAACAGATTGAGTTTGTTCTATAGAGGTTTTTGATTCTATGGATGCTAGCTTAGAAATTATGTAATAACTCAACAAGACTAATCACTTCCTATAGCTTCACCTAACTCCTATAGCTTCACCTAATTCCTATGCAATCAAAATCTTCACCGCTTCATCTAACTCTTATAGCTTCATCGTTTTATTTGAGTGGATGGTGTTAAATTTGGGCTAATTCTGGGCTTCCAACTAAAAACCAATTGGCAATTAGTGGATTGGCCCTAACCCTTTATATATTATTGTTTGTCCCATCAAACTTCCGATGTGGGACTTGGATTGTATCTCCAACAATCTCCCCTTCAATCCAAGGACCACATAGATCGTAACACACATCCTCGATCCCTCACTCGGACCGATAATAAGCCTCTTTCTCGGGCCCCCATTACTCGGGTTTGAGGTATGTCCGTATCCACTTTTCTAGGTCCACTAGAATTTGAATCTTGGGCTCTGATACCATGTTAAATTTGGGCTAATTCTGGGCTTCCAACTAAAAACCAATTGGCAATTAGTGGATTGGCTCTAACCCTTTATATATTATTGATTGTCCCATCAAACTTCCGATGTGGGACTTGGATTGTATCTCCAACAGATGGACCCAATTCTTGGTATGAATTATGCTTCCATGTTATAATTTTTTTTTGCCATGGAACCATTTATGTGGGTCTATAATCATCGATTGTAAACCTAAACCGTTTTTATTTTTATGAAATATTTACATTTTTAGCAAAAAAAAAGCAAGAGTAATCACGATGAACACGATTTAGTGTGTATTACTAATCAAATTACAGATAAAAAAACCTCAATCTTAAAACCTTTCTTTAGAAGAAAAAATCTTAGAAACAATTTCTTAAAAAAAAACTCTTGAAAACTCTAATTCTATTGTAGGAATAAATAGAAAAACAAAAAAAATGGAAGTAGGTCTATCCTAAAATGCAAGCTGGATAGGTGTTCAGTAATGCAAAAAGGTTGTTAAATTCTTGAAATACCTGAAAAACAACACATTTGTCCAAGAAATGGCAAATAACAGAAAGAGAGAAAGTTCTACAATGAAATATATGAAACAATTCATCCTGTCTCAAAAATACCAAAGTTTTCATTCTCTTGTCGATAAAAATATTTAAAAAAACAAACTTAAAGTCTCGGTGGTTTCTTATTTGTAAATGAGTTGACATCTCCACTGGCCTCCATCACTCAATTTGTTGTTATTACTCTTGGTTATCTGAAGGAGTCTTCATATAGCCAATAATCTGTAGCAAAAACAATATTCCTAGTAAGAAAAAAAATTGTAACTTCGATACATAGAAGGTTTCAAGAAGATCAAAAGACTCACCACATGTCCCTTGTTGAAGTCATACATTCTCATCAATCCACCAACATTGTCTTCTTTCTTCACAATTTGTACTCTGTCTTTGTGGGGATCAATCACTCTCGACTCTGTCACCAACTCGTTAACCACAAACATCTCGATTTCTTCAACTTGTGCCTCAACGTAAGGAGCAACGTACATCTAAACATATGATCAATTTATATGAAAAAGTTTTAATTAGACTCATGAAATCAATAAGCATGCATTGTTTTTGTTTTTAGATTAGGTTAAAATTTAACATACCTCACATAGTGACTTCATTGTCACGTTAGGTTTGCAGCTTACTTGAGGATTCTGCAAATTTGGTATCACTGACGTATCCATTGAAACAAGCAAGACTTGAATATCCATCTGCATCATGGAAACAACACCGATCAAAATGGAAAAACTATGACCTAATGTTTCACAATGTAGACAATTTTTTTTTTACCTCATTATTTTTATGTTGTTCAACATGATTTTCTAGCATGTGTCTTTTGCATGTGCCACTACGCATGCTGCGTTTTCCACGTTTTCCCCATTTCAGACTCTCCAAGGGCACCAAGGGCAATAAGTTGGTCTCCATAAATTCTTCTTCAGAGCCATTTTCATCACTATCATCCGTGATTTCAGGACCAAAAATTTCATACATTAAACGAGCTTTTTCTCTTTCACGAATGGTAGTTTGATTCTCAGATGGATAAGATGGACTATCTCCATCACCAGAAGAAGAAGCAAGTCCTCTAACTTTGACCTTCGTTGAACGATTAGATTAAAAAAAAAGTCATGTTTCAATTAAGTGAATAGAGGAATTAGTACTAATCAAAACCATCTTTAAAAAGAGACTTAGGAAGCTAAACATAATCTTTTAATGGCCAAACTAACCAGCTGTTTAATATTAATCTGTTCTATTTCATTGAGCATTAGCTCCTCCGCAACATAAAAGCAAAAATAAGATTTGGTCTAAAGATATATAATATAATCAAGAAAAGACAATAATGGTTTACCTCTTTTTGGTACTGGTTATCATCCGGATCCAGACATGAAATTATTGCATCTACAAATTTATCATCTTTGAGAGAGTGATGATTGGGAAAGCGGACACAACAAGAAGGGCATTGAAGGTCTCTTTAAAAAAAAAAAAGAACTAGAAGGGTGAGCACAAAAAAATTTTAACTTATAAAGCAAATAGTATTTAAGAAATAGTCATATACGTATAGTTCATGGATGTTTCAATGCATTCTTTACAGAAACGGCGCATGCATTCCACACAAAGTTGAGCTTTCCGAAGGATACCTGAAGAAAGCCAAATCATTGGTATAAACATGTCAGTGTAAAATATTTTCCTGTTGATAGAATAACTCTCAAAATGCCTTTTTAACAAAAAAAAAAAAAAAAAAAAAAAAAAACTCTCAAAATGCCATCACAATCATATTAAATACTATGATTGAATATTAAGACAGTGTTCTAAAAAGCGGTCTAGGCGGTCGTCTAGGCCCCGATTAGGCGCTAGGCTCTCATGCAACGCCTAGATAACCGCTTTGACCGCCTAAAATTATATAGATCTTGTTTAATATATTTTTTCAATTTTAATTAGAGTTTTATTTATATATATAGTTATAAATATTCTTATATTGTTTAATATAAATATTTATCTAGTTTTTGTTTATAATTTCATAATATTAGTTTTATATAGATATTTTATATAACTTTTATATATAATATTATATTTATAATGTTTTATGTTATAAACGTCTCAACCACCTAAAAATCGCCTAGACCCCGATTAAGCGTTCTAGGCGCTAGGCACTAAGTCACCACCCGCTTAACGCCTAGCGCTTTCTGATATTAACATATAAGTTTGTCAATATGAACCAAAACCGAGCAAACCACCTACCCCTCCACCCCACCCCACACCCCCGCGAGGTGAGTGGAGGTCTAAAAAAAATTAATCCGCAAAAAACAGGTTTTGGACACAGAGGTTTCACTTTCATAAATTACAAGTTTTTGTGGGTAAATCATGATGGTTTTCGAGTTACCCGCAAGCTTTAAAAAATATATATATATATTATAAATTTAAAATTTTTATATATAAATAAATTATCAAATTTTGAGTTTCTAAAACGAAAATGTGTATTACATTTAAAATTATTTCTATTAATATTAAATAATTTTTTTGCTTAAAAATATTTTATAAATTAGAAAAAGTAGGGCTACGCATTCGGTGATAACCGAACGAACCATACCTGCGGATAACCCACAAGGCGGATGCGGACATATTATTTACTCTTGTGGATTATTGCAGGTAAATAAATTTTGAACTCGCATGACGGGTTTGACCCGCTTGACAGACCTACAAATATATGCTAGGACAAATTCTAAAAAGGTGGACTCTACATAAAGAGAAGGAAAACCTGGCTCCAAACGAAACTTATATTTTTTCTTAATACATGAATGGCTTAAGAAAAAAAAAAGTAACATATGCATGTAAATGTATTAGGTCTTTTGTTTCTTAGCTCCTTATAGAGGGATAAAATAACTCCCATAAATATTTTTTAATTATAAAAAAGATTTTTGTCACTTCACATTAGCTAAATTTTAAATTTTATCGAAGCCGATCAAGGAGGCTTACATATACCTTATATAGATATGTATGCCACAAACAAATACATGAAAAAAGGTTAATTTTTAAGATACCTAGACAGATTGGACATTCCATTTCCTTGAGAAGTCTTGAGAAGTTCACCATGACAAATCTGCAAGCAAAAAATGCAAGAATTTGATAAGTTGTAGCATCTAATCATTATTGTAAAGCTCTACTAGTCCCAAATAATCAAACCAAAAATATAAGAGCACGGTAAAATCAGAACTGAATTTAACATCAGATTTACTTTCTACTAGTAAACTCAATCAAACATAATAAATGTGAAGAATCGAGCCCAAGATCTAAAGTCTCCATCCATATATTGACATATCCAAACCATATTCATGCCCCCAAAATATAAGAACAAAAAAGGGACACACATTTACTCAAAATGCACATTCATTATGTTCAAACTAAAATTTATAAACCGCACCGTAAATTGTATGTAGATCTATTAAAACAACGATGTCAATCACAAAGAGGAACATAAAAGATACGATAAGAAAACACAAAAGAAGAAAACAATTTGCTTACACCTAAATTTCCGTCTCGTCGCTCGATGGTGAGTTCCGATTGGCTGATATCTGATAAAAAATCTAAAAAAAACGAGGATTAAAAAAATAAATAGCATTATTTGAAAGAAATTTGTTAACTCTTAAATTGGTTTTTTTGGTAGAAATTAAGTCAAAAGAGAGAATTAATTATTTACCTTTTTATCCTAATTAATTGTATTACGTGTTTCGTTTTACACCATATGATTTTTAAAGATATGTTAAAATATCATATCAAATTTTTTACTTAATAATAGCTAAAATGTATTTGAATAGCTAATATGGTATGAAATATATAAAACACGAATCACTGCATGCCACGTAATATCTGAATTATTGAGCACGTTGACGGACTTTTTTTTTGTTTTGAATACCAAGAGGTTTTGGGCCAAAGCCCGTAATCCCCCAGGCCCGAAACCATATTATGTAATATTAGTTTCGTCCCAAACGTCACTCGAACCAGCGATCTCTAAGCTTCGCCTAAGATCTTTACAAGTTGAGCTAACGACACTTGATGACGGACTTCCCTAAGTATCGACACACTTTCCAAGTCATACATAATAGAGAACTCCGGAAAACATGTCAATTCATACAACAAACCGAAGTTTGCAAATATTTCATAATAAGTTTACCATAAATTTACCAATAATAAGGTCTTCTGCGACTGCGATTGAGACTAAAAATTGTTGGTTTAGTGATGCGATTTTTTAAATAGCGATTAGTCACGCGATTGCTAAACAAACAACATCTTGCAATTCAAAATCGCAGTCGTAACTTTATTTAAAAAGAAATTATTTAAACCGAAACTTTAGACTCTAATCCGAAAATACTAATTCTGAGATATTATTTTCAACTCGAAGAACCGAACCGAACCGAACCGAACCGAACCGACCCGACCCGAAGACTCCGTTTCCGTAGCTGATTACAGTATCTTCGTTGCCCTTTTACCCCGAAAACTAAAAAGATCCAACAAAATCCAAACTTCTGCAATTTTGGTGTCTGCTATACAGAATCCAAATCCACCATCTTCCGATTGAAAACGCCTTCTCTTTCGATCATGGATGTGTCGAAAGTCGTCAGCTTTTCCCGGAATTTCGCCGTCTTGGTCAAAGTCGAAGGCCCTGTAAGCTCTTATCTCTCTTTACCCAATTCTTATTTACAGATTCTATCCATGAATTTATCTACTTTACACATGATCGGGTACAAAGTGTTAATAATCATACTTGGTGTCAATTTTAGGATCCAAAGGGATTGAAGATGAGGAAGCATGCTTTTCATCAATACCAGTGAGCACAAGATGAATTATTTTCATAGATATATTCTTTGATTTGGTTTCTTATCTTGGAACTTAATGTGGCTGAAATTTTGTGTGTGTTTGAAGTTCTGGCAATGCAACACTTTCAGCTTCTGGGATCTTGTTTCCAAGAAATATCTTAAGTGGTGGTGAGGTCACGGCTAAGGTTCTGTTTGAAGCTGGTCAGGAGATGGCCCTGGTTTTGACCGTTGCATCTGTTGTAGAGCCATTCTTAACATTAGGTCACAGAACTAGTAGTAGTATCTCTCAGGTTAGATACACATGCTAGAATTCACTATCAATGATACATGTTTTTGCTTGATGTGCTACTTCAATCTTGATGTCTTTTGTTTTTTTGGTAAAGGATCCGGTGAAGCTTATTCCGGGTGCTCGGATTGAGATTATGGTGGAGGTATACAGATAGTGTTTATGAATAGTTTATGTTGAATGGTAAGTTGTTTGGATTTTTTAAGGTATGATCTAGATACTTACTCTTTCCAGGGTCAGCTAAAGTCAGGAGAGGAAGCTCCTTTTTGGGTTCCTGCGCAACTTCTTTCTCTGGTACGGATAAAATGCCCCTTCTTCCTTGCATTAAAAGTGACAATTGATACCTCCCTGTGGTGATGATTTATGAATCCACTAAACTGATATTGCAAGATGGGTGATATGCACTTCTTATGGCATATGTTGTAGCTCCCTTTTCGTGGAATATGAACTTCTTTTCGGTGCTGATTTTTACTAATATGTTACAAGGTTGATGTCCCTGTATCTTCTGCTGCACTCCAATCTCTTATTGAAGCTTCTTCCGGTTCGAAAGATTCTGGATGGGATGTTGGTTGGTCTTTGGTTTCTGCTGCTAATGGTTCTCAGCCTTCAACCAAGGTAAGTCAAATGCAAACACGAATGCTCTTTGATGGCTCGTTGCAAGGGAAACATTCTGAGCGTTTGAACTTCTACCTGTAATTGATGTGTGTTTGTATTTCCTTCTTTGAAATGAAAGAGCTCTGTCTATTTCTGAAAATCAGTTTTCTATCATTTATTAGATTGAACATTACAGCAAGCCCTTGATGCAACTTGATGAGCCACTCAATGCTAACTTCATGGCCAAGTCTGCCACTCGAATGGCTCTTCTAGGAGTCCCCTTAAGTTTACTGGTAAATATTTCCCTGATTTTCCTCCCCGTATATTCTTTATGATTTATGGTTCATCTTAATGTTACTGTACCTTACACTATCTCTAACTATTTTAAACTATGCTTCGTGGTGCAAATGTTTTGTGAAATCAGGGTCAGCCAAACATGAAATTTGCTTCATCAAGTAGCAAGGGTGATACACTTGTAGCACTAGGTTCTCCTTTTGGAATCCTTTCACCTGTTAACTTTTTTAACAGGTGAATTATGGCTACACTAGCGTTACTGCATTTTAATCGACTAGAGCTCATCATGATTTCCTTTCTATTGATAATGTCAGCATTTAACTCTGGGAATCTAAACTGGTTTGAAACAGTGTATCAACTGGTTCCATTGCGAATTGCTATCCTTCTGGATCCCTAAAGAAGTCACTGATGATAGCTGATGTTCGATGTCTCCCTGGTATGTACAATTCTCAATAGTTTTTATATATGCTCCATTTGTTTCATCTTAAGAGCTAAAACTTGTTCCCTTCCGGTTCAATTTCTTTCAGGAATGGAAGGGGCCCCGGTGTTTGATAAGAATGGGCACTTAATTGGCATTTTGATTAGACCACTAAGGCAAAAGAATAGCGGCGTTGAAATTCAGGTTTGTCAACGCCAGCCTCATTTCCTTTATGTTCATTGAAGTTTTATTGTAATGTTTCATGCAAAACTGTAGCCTTCGGTAGCAGCTGGTGGTTCCATGGGGAGCAATCACAACTGCGTGCAGCCACTTGCTGCTTGAGGAACCATCTGAAGCAGGAAAAGCAAGTAAGTGGGGGAGTGAAGCACTAAATGTTAAATCAGATACTAGTATTCCTGCACAAGTGGCTATTGAGAAGGCGATGGAATCAGTTTGTCTTATTACGGTCAATGATGGTGTTTGGGCATCTGGTATTATTCTTAACGAACATGGTCTCATACTAACAAATGCTCACCTGCTTGAGCCGTGGAGGTATGGAAAAGGTGGTGTATATGGTGAAGGAAACGATGCTGGTTTAAAACCCTATGTCTTAGGAGCCGATGAGTTTTCTTCCACGGGAGGTAAAGTTTGGGAACAGAAGAGTCAAACATTGCCACGGAAAGCTCCAGCAAATCTCTATTCGGCTGTTGGAGAGAACATTAGGGAATACAAACACAATTTCCTTCAGACTGGGCATAGAGACATACGTGTACGATTGTGTCACCTAGATTCTTGGACTTGGTGTACGGCAAATGTGGTCTATATTTGCAAGGAACAATTAGATATTGCTTTACTGCAGCTAGAATATGTCCCTGGAAAGCTCCAACCTATTGCTGCCAATTTTTCTTCTCCTCCTTTGGGTACAACAGCGCATGTTGTTGGACATGGACTCTTCGGACCAAGATGTGGTAAAGACTCCATTAGTCCTAGAATTATCTTGTTGAATCAGATTTGTGATTAATTCTTGCTTATGTTGTGCTTCCATAATCTTGCATAGATTTCTTTGCACACCCTAAAACTACATTCTCTTGTGCCTTATATGAGCCAAGTGTCCTTAAATGGAAGAAAGAAAAGATCCTCTCTATTCTTCCGTGATAGTTTTGTTGTCTAACATTTTTGTTTTGTTATTAGGGCTTTCTCCTTCTATTTGTTCTGGAGTTGTAGCAAAGGTAGTTCACGTGAAGAGGAGATTGAATACGCAATCCATTTCGCAAGAAGTCGCAGAGTTCCCCGCTATGCTCGAAACAACAGCTGCTGTGCATCCTGGTGGTAGTGGTGGTGCTGTTCTCAATTCAAGTGGCCATATGATTGGACTTGTTACCAGGTAACAGAAAATCATTCTCAAATACAAAATGTAGGTCTTTTAGATTCAAATATAAGATGGGTCATTAGAAACGGACATATCTATACAGCATTGAAACGGATAGGTCTTCTTTAATCATGATACGTAGTTGATTTTTCATTGCTATGCTTGCAACAAGATTTTTGTGATAGATGTTTGCTATGCTTGCGACAAGATTTTTATAATAGATGTTATGTGCTTGTACCTAAAGTAGGCTTCTGTTGTTCCAAAGAGAAAACGTCTTTTTCTGTATCTGCAGCAACGCAAGACATGGAGCGGGGACTCTTATACCGCATCTCAACTTCAGCATCCCATGTGCAGTCTTGGCACCAATCTTCAAGTTTGCAGAAGGTTTGTCTAATATAGTTGGTTTATTTTACTTATGGAAGCAGAATAAAGAGCAGATGTGACAAAAAGTGTTTGCTTATTATTGTTCCCGTCTTAAAACAGATATGCAAAACATGGAGATCCTTCAAACACTTGATCAACCAAGCGAAGAACTCTTATCCATTTGGGCTTTGATGCCATCACTATCACCAAAGACTGAGCAGTCTCTACCCAATCTGCCTAAGTTACTCAAAGATGGTAATAACAAACAAAAGAAAGGATCTCAGTTTGCCAAGTTCATTGCAGAGACCCAAGACATGTTTGTAAAGCCGACCAAGCTTTCCCGTGATGTGATCCCTAGCAAGTTATGACAAGATTAGCTTTTTTGCAGAGTGTGCGCCTTCTTTTCCCCCTTTTGCTGGAGTGGCAACTTTAACTTTTGTATAGATAGAGAGATTACAATGTGTTGCTGCTGTTTCTGGATTCTTCTGCTTGTAACATATGTAAAACCTTATACAGTAGTATGTTGGCAACTGTTTATCAGTCTTCAAACTGTGATTCTGTGTTTCTTTAATAGCTTTTTAGCTCGTCGTCTCCTCTTTTTTCATGCCATATCTCAGTGATTGCAAGCAATGGCAAGCACTAGTACCTTGTAAAGTAACATGTAGACCATACAGATTTTCATGATATACAAATGATCATCTATTCAAACAATATGGAAAACATGAAACCAGTAATAGTGTAATGCTTCGACTTTATTGATTTGTTAGTTTGGTTATTACTTCATTAGTGTTACGTTTTATAAGTCCCTTGACTATTTTTGAGATATTGCGTGGTTTGAATATAATTTGGGGGAACTTTGCGTTATTTGAACTATATATTAAAAGTTTCGTGCCTTTCTAAAATTATATTGAAAATATTATCCTTGTTTGTTTAATCTTATAACCATGTAAAACTATTCTCAATAACATCATTCCCTTCTTTGTCTTGTATTCGCAAGTTCTTGGATAAAAACAAAACAAAACATTCTTTTTCTTTTTTGGGTGTAATAACTGAATATGCTTACTTTAATATTGATTGTGATGCAAAGGAATCGAAATCAACTGCCAATCAAACTGCGAGAACACTATCGAAGAAAACAACAAAATATGAAAAGAAAAAAAACATTAACCTTCTTTGGCAAAAGCAAGTATTCCAAGAAAAAGAGTAATCTGGAGAAGACAAAGTAACCTCGACATTCGAGAAAATAGAACCAAATTCAGGGGAATAAAAAAACAAATTAACAATAATCTGACAAAAATGAATAACAATAAATAAAAAGAGGAGGATTTTTACAGTAATTAATTAGAGAATAGAACTTTAGGGGAGAAGAGAAAATCCCTTGGAGTTATACAAAATTCGTTAGTTTCCCTATGCTAATGCTTTTGCTTTTCTTTTTCCCAATCTGCCTCCCACATGCATCATCGTAAATATATTGACACATACGTACGGTACAACATACCACATATGCACTAATTAAAAGTATTTGTGTAGACTCTCTTTTTTTTTTGGATAAAGTGTAGACTCTTTTTAAAAATGAGTAATGACTTATCTAAGAAGTTCGACGTATGTAAGTAGTTCTTTGGTAATTTTTATTTGGTGAATAGAGTTTGCGGTGATGTCTTGAGAAATTAGTACCAAGAAAGAGGACGACTAGAAGAAGACATATTAAGGAAAACGAAAGTTTTAAGTAAGTACATATGTAAAAACCGAGCTAGTCGGGAGAGTGAGAGAATGAGATTTTGTGCGGTTCATGCAAAAATTGCAAAAAGAGTCTCATGTACATTTTATCATATGGTCTACCATTACCATATTGGTTGTAAATGACACGGCTAACTATTTACAAAAATCAGTTTCATATACAGATATAACTGCACTCTTAATTAATCACATATTAAAAAAAAAGATATTTGGTTTTAGATTCGAAACTATAATAAACAATAATCTATATGACTATATCCTAATTGTATAACTATAGTGCATGCTTTTCTTCTTAATTTTTTAATGAAGGGTTTGCAACTTCTTAATTGTTTTTGTAACGCTATTCTTTGGCTAAATGATATATTATGGTTTATGGTCATCTCATGATAAATCAATTGAAATAATTAATTTTTGCAATAGTATAGTTTAAATGCTACTAAAAAATTGCAAATATGTAGTAAGATGTGATATGTTTTAGTTTTCTATACATAGTCCTAAGATCTAATTATATTATTTTATTAAAAAGTAAGGAAAAGCAAAGATAATGCAAGGAAAGAGACGATGGAGAATAAAGTAAAGATTGGAAATGTGAACCCATTTGGGGTTGGCAGTGAGTGAGATGGAACATCACATGCACTTGTGCTCTATTTTGTCCCTTTCCTCTTGGAGCTTTCACTTGTCACTTTCACTTGTCAACAGTGCTGGTCCGAGCATTTGTGAGGCTCTACACAAAAAATAAAATGAGGTCCAATATATTTATAAGTTTTAGGACTAAAATTTTTTTTTGACCTATTTTTAGTAAATTATACAAAAATAATGATATTTTGAATATTATTACATTCAAATTTAATTGTTTGGGCCCTATTTTATTTATTTTTTTCGAAAAAAACTTTAGTTTCTACCAAATATTTTCATTTTATGAGCCTTTTTACCAAAAAAAAAAAAAAATAAAACCCTTAAAAAAAAAAAAAATTGTGGTGCACCAAGCCACCGCTTGGGTGGCCTGTCCTGCGGGCCGGCCCTGCTTGTCAAAAACCTTCTTCTAATTTGTTTTTCTTGCAACTCTAATCTAAACCCATTTCTTATTTAATTCTTAAAGATTCTCATTGTTTTTTTCCTATTCATGACTTAGTAATGATGTGATAATTTGATCTACCATGCATATAGTCTCAATTATAAGTAGACAATATTGGCTATTTCAGAATATATCGCATGACCATCGTAGTCACTAAAAACGCGATGTGATTTTGTGACGTCAATCAATACGAAGTAACTACTATACTATAACCTTTGATTTTAAACTTGAATATCTTGATTTCAAAAGAACATTATTTGTATACTATTATATTGTGCATTGCTATCATTCTTGGCTTGGATGTATTAATTATCAATATCTCTAAACATTCTCCAGCTTGCTAAAATATTGTAAGAAATCTCTTGAATTATTACTGACATCTTAAAAGTTGCAACTAGTATTATTGTAGGGGTAGGAGTACGATATAATATTCAAACCGACGCTTATAAACTATAGTGAGCTTGTATGATAGATATGTGCCCTGTTCTAAAAATCCTCGCCTAGACCCGATTACTCCCCGCTTAATCGCTAGGCCCACCCTATCTGTCTCGATTAATGACTAATCCCTTAAAGAAATCAGTCATCCGATTACTCTCCGCCTAATCCGATTATTCCCCGCTTAATCCGATTATTCCCCGCCTAATCTTACATACCCCGATTATTTTTAGATTGTTAGTATAAAAAAACTTTTTATTTTTGTTATTCAATCATTTGAATTGGGAGTTTGTAATGTTTTACAATAATTTATGTTCATATTTTAATAAAAATCATAAATATTTGTCTCAAAAATACATTTTTATGTGTTTACTGCAATTTTAAAAATAATATTGGATTAATATGTTTTAAAAATATTAAAATAACCCTAAAACTAATCTCCGATTAATCCCCGATTTTAATCCGATTTTCCGATTAATCGCTAGGCCCATGCCGAGCGCCCGACTAGCGCCTGGCGATTTTTCAATCAAGGAATATGTGTATATAATATAATTGTTGGAATGTATATAAATTAAAATATAAGAGTTGGAAGTGGGATTGATAGGGTGATGTGGGTCTAGGGATTCACTCCAATTCCACAATATGCAAAAGAATGTCACTTATCGTGATGAGTGATGTTCCTCGATCCCTCTGAAAGATTCACCTGTTACATTCTCCTTTATTGTCTCTATCTTTTTTCTTCTTACATTTTCAGTATATATATATACACTTTAAATTAATGTAAATTTATTCGATTAGGGATCTAGATTTAGTTTAAGATACGATTACTTAGGTGTCAAATTAACCCCTTGTTAAGCTAAAATCAGGGATAGTAATAAGACAAAACTTACGTAAATTATGAAATAGTTACTACTTGCTTTGATTCGCACAAGCATGTAAACTTACTGTTTATTTATTTATTTATTTCATCAGCTTAACATCAAATAACCGGACAACAAATCCAAAAAATCAACTACGTCTAGAATTTGGACTTGTTTTGTTACTCCAAATCGGTTAATAGGTGTTTGCAAAACTATTTAATTTTCTGTAAATTAGTATTTTTATTAGCTCAACTGAAAGAAAATTATTATCGAGCCTTTTATTTTTTGAAACTTAAAATCAATGAGCTTTTATGGACATTGTTTCTTTACTTAATTATGCTTCTCAATTTAGCGTGGATAAACAAGTAAAAGGATATACATACTTGGGGCGGTACTACTGTCCAATGGGACTGTTATCATAGTAACTGGATTATTTGAGAAATAAAAAAAAAGATTTTCTTGAAATAGACTAATTAATCCTAAATATTAAAAAAAATATATCTACCTGATTCATGATTTTCTTTGAGACGTTAGGCCTATTTTCTGCTGTAATACAATGTTAACTTAATTTAGATTAAGAACCAAAAAGTTTGAAACAGAAACGGCTCAAAACATCATTGTGATATGTAATTTTAGATTAGCCGTGAAAGTACATAATTGAAAGTCTTAGACTGAATGGAATTTCATATTTCTTTTACTAATGAAGGTCTTTTAACAGTGTGGATTCGAGTCATTCGACATCTCAATTACTAAATCACTTACTATATATTTGGAGACAATGTATATATCCGAGACACACAATTTCCACCTTTATAGATTGTGACCATCAAGTTGTGATCAGGGACATCAAATATAATTTGCTCAGACTAAAAATAAACATCAGACGACGACATGCCATACTGTGCACCCCTACCGATCGATGGTAAAACATGAGTCCGGAAAGTGTGAGGTAACATAAACATTTAATAACCTAATAACATAGGCGCACATAATTTGTTTTCGTACTCTTGTTTTTGTTTGTTAAGAAAATGCTTTCATTCTTTAAAACCGTTTTAATTGTTGGATCGTACAACAAATTAAACGATCTATATCCAATTATGCATATGTTACATTAATAGGTACAACTGTACAAGAGAAGGGTTCCTAATTGCGTAATCGGTAATCTGCTCCACCAAAATATGAAGGCTTCTAAAATTTCGTGTTTTTTTTTATAATCCAGTGTCCAGACCACACTGTGATCCGACTAGCTCACTGGGCCTAAACCCGCGTGCCTGAGATTTTTAAGCCTCCACTTAAGGGCCCCCTGGAACTGGTGGTCTGGGACGCTGCGCCCCGCATGTAAATTGCGCAGTGGCCGGGACTCGTCGAGGTTCCTTTACCACCAGAAGACAAGCACCCGGTTCTAAAATTTCGTGTTGTTTTACTGATTGAGCATCATAATATATATGTTCCTAATTTCTGAAGCATTTGCAATACAATCCACCAAACAGGCAGTTAAAAGATATTACAATGGAGACCATAAAATACGCAAAGACGACATTACAATCCACGTTGGAGCGGATGCAAAGAACAAATGATGACGGATAATATTAATATTAGAATATGGGTTTCCAACTCAAAACCAATTGGCAATGAGACCCATATATCTTATATACTAGTCAAGATCCTTTGTCCTTTCCAATGTGGGATAATATTATCCCTAATAATTAAGGCATGCTACTACTATTAAAAATTTATTTTGATATTTATGTTTCGAAAGATTGTATAATTTACACTTTTAAAGTTCCAGATTTTTTTTTAAAGTATATATAAGAAATTATTAGATAGTCATTGGATAGCAAAACAATATCTTAGTGTCTAAACTGATCAATCGATGATATTTTTATTTTATATTTTGAATTAAAAAAACATTGAAAACGATTTTACTTAAAGTCGGTCAAGGAGACTGATGTTCTTTTTCTTGTCACAGAAAACTGATTTTTTTTATAATATATTTCAGTAAATGAGCCGGTGTAATTGAGGACCATTTTTAGAACAAAGGCATCGTGAACATCTCTGTAATAAATCTTATTTAAAAGCTAGTAGCAAAATTGTTAAGTACAACTAGAGAAAACCCTAGTGCAACACTTACATAATATAATATATAATAAAAATCAATAGTGGCACGAATAACAATATTACAAATAATATTTCATCCGTTTCGTTTTAGTTGTCGTTTAAGGTTTTCACACACAAATTAAGAAAAACATTAAATTTTCTATTTTATCATTTATTAATATATTTTATAAAAAAATTTATTGGCCGAAACATTAAAACAGTAGGAATAAAACTGGAATTTTCACCCAACATTTGCATCTAAAACCTAAAACGATAACTATTATAAAACAAAATTTTAACTCTAAAACGACAAGTAAAACAAAACGGAAGGAATATAAAATAAGGAGCTTAAAGAACCATCTGTCAAGAATCTTTGTAAGTTAAAACAGTAATAATAGCTTCAGTAGCCAACAGCTCTTTGTCTGTACACTGCTGGTTTCAAAAGGATTCTCTTTTATACAAGTAAAGAAACAAAGAAAAAATCAAAATCAAGAAAGATATGTTTGGCAATTGTGACCAGAAGAAGAAGATGCCTATCATCAGCTCTCCCAACACCAATCCACTGGTCTCTCTCTCTTTCTCTCTCTAAATAATATGACCCATTTATCTTTTGTTTCTTAGCTTTTGGATCCGAATAATATCCTCTTGTCCTCTCTTTGTTCTCTTGCCTTTAGTTAAACCACACGATCTAAAAATCCCTTCTCTCTTTCTTTCTTTCTTTATCTCCCTCTCTTCTCAGGCGAGTATGCAAAGCAAGAACATGATCGTGGCATCATCTCATCAGCAGCAACCGCAGCAGCCACAACCGCAACTTAAATGCCCTCGTTGTGATTCTTCCAACACAAAGTTCTGTTACTACAACAACTACAGCCTCTCTCAGCCGCGGCACTTTTGCAAGGCTTGCAAGAGGTACTGGACGAGAGGTGGGACTCTCAGGAACGTTCCCGTAGGCGGTAGCTACCGGAAGAACAAACGGGTAAAGCGGCCATCAAACGCAACCGCAACCGCTGCCTCCACCGTCTCGACGACTACTTCTTCATCCCCTAATAACCCTCATCAGATCTCTCATTTCTCTTCCATGAATCATCATCCCTTGTTCTATGGTTTATCAGATCATATGAGCAGTTGTAATAATCTTCCAATGATTCCAAGCCGTTTCAGTGATTCTTCAAAGACTTCTTCAACAAGTGGTTTAGAGAGTGAGTTTCTCTCATCTGGGTTTAGCAGTCTTAGTGCTCTTGGATTAGGGCATCCGCATCATATGAGTCATGACCACACCATTAATGGTAGCTTCATCAACAACTCCACAACAAACAAACTCTTTCTTCTATCGGGTCTATTCGGATCCTCGATGTCTTCTTCTTCTTCTTCTCCTACTCTTCTCCAGCACCCAAATAAACCCATGAACAATGGTGGTGACATGTTGGGACAATCCCATCTCCAAACCCTAGCATCACTTCAAGATTTGCATGTTGGAGGTAACAATGAAGATATGAAGTACAAAGAAGGAAAGCTTGATCAGATCTCTGGGAACATCAATGGGTTCATGTCATCATCATCTTTGGATCCTTCAAACTACAACAACATGTGGAATAATGCAAGTGTTGTCAATGGAGCATGGCTTGATCCAACAAATAATATCGTTGGATCCTCCCTCACCTCCTTGATATAAACCAAAACTTTGGTTATATGATCTATAACTAGCTAGGGTTTATCTTTTTTCCCTTTTTGTTTTGAGATGAGAGAAGAAGCTTGGATCAGAGAGATCTAATCAGGGGAAATGTTTATCTTGGCACTATAAAGCTCCCTCGGATCCTCTTCATCTCACCATCTCAATCATCTTCCTTCGCGTAGTTCAAGAAAAAACAAAAGGGGTTCAAGATTGGTTCAAGGTTTACTATGGTCTACTGTTAAGTTTACTCGAGGTAAATGATATGTGTATGTACATAATATGGTCCTGACTTTGATCTTTTTTTCTTTTTCTTTCCCATCTATGTAATTCTAAGGTCCACCACATGGGTTGGTGTTTCTTTTCATTGGGATTAGGAGGGTATATTTGGCTTAATTTGGGTTTCTCATGGGGTCCGAGAACTCAATAGTTTAGTTTCAAGTTTTATATCTTTTTTTTAGTTTCACATTTCTTTTTTGGTGTGGCTTTCATTGGGTATACAAACAGAGGGAGGGGTGTGGTTTTGTATTGTTATAACTTTGGTTATTCATGTATGAGTTATGTTCTTACGGTACTTTTGGAAACATGCATGTTTGTGTATATATACTTAATCACGATAGATATGGGACGAAGGTAAATGTGGATGACTTGAATTGGCTGAAAAAGAATATGTCCGTTAGCTAATGTCAAATAGGAGATCCATAAATACGAGAAAATTACCAGAAACAACGTCAATGGATACTATTATTCGAGACATGTATGCAATATTTATATGTGTACGTGTACTTAGACCGACAAAGCGAACAAACCTGGTTAGATATTTATAACGTATATTGCTCATAATTATGTCATAGTGATGATTTTTTTCTTTAGTATGTTGGCCATAACGCATGGTTCCATATATGTTACAAATGCATGAGAACACAAGTTCTGGTCCAGACTTGGAGTTTAGTGTGGTGTTTTTGTAAAGTGGGCACGAGTTCGTTACCAGTTTCTTTATGTCATTTTCTCTGTAATGATTCTTTCCGTGCAAGATTTGTCTCGAATAAACATTTGAGTCGGTATCGTTTGGACACATCAGTTTTGTGCGGATGATTTACGGATTTAATTTCAAATATCACACGATTGCTCAGAATGTCCTGCTGACTCGTTGATCTTCCTATTATTATTATGGAAAGAGCGTAACAAGCGGTTCTACTAGAATAGAAATACATATATTCTTCTGTGTATATGCTTCGATGGAACTATAGCAGATACTCATGAGGAAATAAAGAAAGAAGCGACAAGGTTTTTTCAAGAGTTTTTGGACCAGAAACCAGAAAACTACCAGGGTAAGTCAATAGAGGAGCTACAGAGTATGATCAAATTTCGGGTATCAGAAGCACAAGCTGAAAGGCTGACTCGTGAGGTCACAGAGGATGAGATTCACAAGGTTCTATTCTCTATGCCCAGAGATAAATCCCCGGGTCCTGACGGGTATACTGTGGAATGTTTAAGAGAGGCATGGTCAATAGTAAAGAAGGATTTCGTAGTAGCAGTGCAATCCTTCTTTCTCTATGGTTTTATTCCTAAGGGAGTGAATACTACCATATTAGCTCTTATACCAAAGAAGAAAGAGGTCAAAGAGATGAAAGATTACCGCCCAATATCCTGCTGTAATGTCATATACAAGGTTATCTCAAAGCTCATAGTTAATAGGCTGAAAGTTGTTCTCCCGGAGTTCATCTCACCAAACCAGTCAGCTTTTGTCAAGAACAGGTTATTAATGGAAAATGTCCTCTTGGCTTCAGAAATAGTCAAAGATTACCATAAAGACACAATATCATCTCGAAGTGCAATAAAGATTGACATTTCAAAGGCGTTTGATTCTGTTCAGTGGCCATTTCTTCTATCCACATTATCAGCTCTCAACTTTCCCCCGCAGTTTGTAAGATGGATTGAGTTACGTATTACCACGGCCTCATTTTCAGTCCAAGTGAATGGAGAATTATCGGGTCTCTTCCGTAGTGCTAGGGGACTGCGGAAGGCTGCTCCTTGTCTCCATATTTGTTTGTCATATGCATAAATGTTCTGTCGCACATGCTAGACACAACAGCTCTGGAAAAAAGAATAGGTTACCACCCGCGTTGCCAAAATCTTAAGCTTACACATTTGTGTTTTGCAGATGATCTTTTGGTATTCACGGACGACAACATACGATCTATAGAGGGAATTCTTCAGATTTTTGATAAATTTGCTACTTTCTCGGGACTGAAAATTAGCCTTGAAAAATCAACACTATATATGGCGGGGGTTAAGGAAGAGGACAAGGAAGAGATACTCCAATCTTTCCCATTCGAATCAGGATCTCTGCCGGTCAGATATCTTGGTTTACCACTTTTAACCAAGAGAATGTCTTTAAGTGACTATACACCACTTATAGGAAAAATTCGAGGAAGGATAGGCAAATGGACAGTGAGACACCTTTCCTTTGCAGGTCGGCTGCAACTCATCAGCTCTGTGATTTACAGTCTTACCAATTTCTGGATGTCAGCGTTCCGCCTACCAAATGCTTGCATTAAGGAAATAGATAGCTTGTGTTATGCTTTCTTGTGGTCAGGACCCGAGCTAAACACCAAAAAAGCAAAAGTTGCGTGGAGTGAAGTATGTCTACCAAAAGATGAAGGAGGGCTCAGCCTTAAATCACTTAAAGAGGCAAACAAGGTTAGTTGCTTAAAACTTATTTGGAGAATAATATCGACTGACTCTCTTTGGGTACAATGGCTGCGGATGCATCTGCTTCGCAAGGGATCTTTCTGGTCAATAAGCGAGAAAACATCCCTAGGATCGTGGATGTGGAAAAAGCTACTCAAATATAGATCCTTAGCTGATGGCTTTGTGAAACATGAGGTACACTGTGGGAAAAGCATCTCTTTCTGGTTCGAAAATTGGTCCCCTCTTGGTCGACTATTTGAAATGTTGGGACATCGTGGATGCATTGATATGGGAATCAGTATTCATGCTACAGTAGCTGAAGCTGTGGAGAAATGTAGAAGACGGAGGCATCAAACTGATATTTTAAATCAAGTAGACGAGATCATTCAAAGCTTTCGTGAAAAGGGTTTAAGTGCTGCAGTTGACAAAGTACTTTGGAAGGGGAAAGGAGATAAATTCAGAAGTACGTTCAGTACAAAGGATACTTGGGAAGCTACTCGTGAAAGACAAGCAAAAGTAGAATGGTATAAAGGTGTTTGGTTCTCACATGCCACACCTAAATACTCAATTCTAACATGGCTTGCTATTAAAAATCGCTTAACAACCGGTGACAGAATGTTAAGTTGGAATGTGGGGGTGGATCCCTCATGTATCCTCTGCCATGAACCCTTGGAATCTCGCAATCACTTGTTCTTTACGTGTAGATACTCGGAAGAGGTTTGGTCTGGACTAGCAAGAAAGTTACTAATGAGGAGATTTGCCACAAGCTGGGATATGGTTCTCAAGATTCTTGCAGATAAATCTATGGGAAAGGATTGTCTCTTCTTGACGAGATATACTTTTCAAATCACAGTTCACTCGCTATGGAAAGAAAGAAATCGAAGAAGACATGGGGAAATTCCAACTTCACTAACTCAAATGATACGGGAGATAGACAAGCAAATCCGGAACAGAATCTCTTCCATACGAGACCTTGGAGATCAAAGATACGAAGGTTGTATGGCAATGTGGTTCGCATCAAGATAAAGAACAAGCTCTCATCACTCTTTTATTTTGATTAATGTACTCAAAAACTCTTAGAAAACTGCAGATGTAAAAAGTTTTTTTCGAATAAATTTTACATTTTATTCAAAAAAAAAAAAAAAAAAAAAAGCTAGTAAGCGTAGTTAATTGCCCCTAACGGCTTTTTTTGTACAATATTTCTTACATAGCCGAGTACGGAGGGATTGTCAATGCAGTTGCTTAGACTATATGGATAAAACCTGCTTATCGAGCTTCATTACCCTCTTTCGACATCAACGATCGTATGTTGTGACAATATACCTCTCCACAAACCCGATACAAAATCACTTGACAATACATGTTGAGTTGGATATTTTGTCTGTCTGTGAAAGAGTAGCACTCGGCCAGGTTCGTGTCCTACATGTTCCTTCCTGCCATCAGTATGAAGATATGTTCACCAAAGTCTTCTCTACTTCTCTATTCAAAGCATTCAAGTCCAGTGCATGCTAAGAAGCTTAGTTAATAGCCCCTAACAACTCTCTTGTACAATATCTCTTATATATTTCATCAATAGAATGACTCAAATCATCAAATGGATTAACCTAATTAATAAAACAGGTTCCACGTATGCGTCGAATCTCATACAGAGCATCAGCCGTTCATGTGTTTTGACCTGATTATTATTGTTTTGGTGGTCTCTTTAACCTTTATTTTTCTAACATGTTTCAACTCTAACTTGTTAAATTCTTGTAACTCCTAACTTTTCTCTATAATGTTTTGTTTCATATGCATGATCAAGAGCCGTTATAATAAGAGATTCTTGAACACCGGTAAACCAAACTGTTTCGGTGTGCTAGCGAATTAGGGATGCATATGATCCTTAAACTAACATTTTCTAGTCGCACATTATGTAAGAGCATGCCAGCCATCATATAAGTTTAAAGATTAAGAAAACTATTTTACGCAGTCCCTACGGAGACATCAGATAAAATTGGAACGATAAAGAGAAGATTAGCATGGCCCCTATGTTTTTTTTTTTTTAACTTTTACACCAAAGAAAAACTATTTTACGTATGTCAAAATTTAGTCAACTAATCAAGTGTAGTTTGGTTCTTCTTAAAAATTCTATGATCGCTTTCTTAACCGAACCGTAATAAATCCAGATGACATTTTTATATATTCACACATGTTGAGTCAATCTCCTCGTATTGATTTCTTATTCTAAAATTCTTTTCTTGTGGATATATCTTATTCTATAATTAACAATAAATTTAAATATTTTACATGTATCAAAATCTAATCGGTTAATTAACATATATCAAATTCACATTAGTTATAGTGGTTTCATGTCAATATAATAAGAATCTTTCAAATGGACTATTCTTTTTTTCTTGGATATATAGGGAAATCGACTTTTCATATCCCATAATTGTATTATGTTAAATTTATACTTGAATTGTATCATTGTGCTAGAACATAAGAAATTTGAATTTCATACATGCACTTCATGTTTTGTGCAAAATCATGCATATGATTAATGTGCTAACAAAAACATTTTTTTTGTTTATGTCTAAATTTCTTTTTTATAGAATTAGGAACTTTTCCATAATTTTCTTTGTATATTAACAAATTTAAATTTGATATGTAGCGATATCTAATGTTTTATGTGACACATATCACAATGTTATTATATATACACGTTAACAATTTTGAAATCCAAACTCTATATAATAAGATATTATATATACACGTTAACAATTTTGAAAACCAAACTTTATATAATAAAATATCTTATCATATATAAAAACATATATCTAAATCACTCATACATGTGAAATATTTATTGAAGGGCACAAGATCGTCGTAATCTCATTAAAAATAGTTTTACAACTTATTGGATGTTTATGGGCGGATGACCACATAAATTCCTATGATTTTAACTTTTTGGTGAAAAAAAAGATAACCTAAGATTAGCCAAAAATCCAATACACTGATTTGCTACCTTAATTATTAATAGAAATTTCCTATAAGCCTGGAGACAAGAAAATGTAGATCTAAAAATAGCAATTTATAGATGTGTATATATAATATAACAAACACAAAAGCAATTTAGCAGAAGAAAATTATTAGTTAAAAAAAGCAAAAGAAAATTAAAATCTAAACACCTGGGAAAAAAAAATGAAATATCTATCAGTGTTTCTATTTTTTTATGGCCTATGCATGATTGGTAATGTATATGGTGGACGAGCAAACAAGCTCCATATCTGGAACGAGCTTGATCCCAATCAAAAGCACTCACACCTCTTTGTGCAGTGTAAATCTGGAAAGGTCGACATGGGAAAACATTATGTCCCGTATGGTAAAATATATCAGTTTGATATTAGGGATAATTTTTGGAAGACGACACTTTTTTGGTGTACCTTTAGACATGGGCCTGGTTACAGGATTGGCCAACAATTTGATGTGTATGAATATAAACCGGGTGTAGCTCAAGGAGGCACATATGAATGGACAGCCAGAGAAGATGGAATATATTTTAGGTTAAATCAAGGTACGATCCATAAAGTGCACAACTGGAAGCCAATGCCACCGTAAGAATTGTTATAATCTTGGTATTGATCTTGACGAATATATATTCTATGCCGTCAAAACTTGATTATGAAATAAATTCCGTGAAGTCCAAGATGTGAATGGAAATATATTCTTTAGATCTCTGATATTATTGTTGTTTAAGTATATTTCATTTTCTTTTCATTTCTTTACTTCTTGTATATATTTATTCACTGCAAAAGATATAATGCATCGTGAATTTATAATAAGTTAATAACTATGTAACATTTCTATTATTATATTTAAGAAAATAAATTGATATTTAAATAAAGATAATGATATATATCTTCTAAGATTTCTTAGAATGCAAATCAATGTTTTTACACTATATATTGTATGTTGTTTGATGCTCATAGAATGTAAATTATTGATGACTAATGTAGACAAACTTGTCAAATTAACGTAGTTCATATAGAATTCTAACTCAAAACTAATAAACAATTAGTGGATCGATAAACCAATATATATTACTTTACAATCATTTTCAATTCCAATGTGAAACATTTAAATAAGAAGATAGTAAGTATAGATATCACCATCAACCATGGATAGCTTTTTCCGGAATGGATGATTTTGAGATAAATAATAGTGCTAACATTCAAGAATTCATGTGTTCTGAAGTAGTATACACATATTCCTATAAATGTGGAAAAATATAGATCGATGAAGGCTTGGGAGACATGTGGAATCCCGTCAAGGTTTGTGAATCAAAATATTTGTAGCCTGAAGACCGCAAACCCGTAGGCAAAACCCATAGTCTCGATGGACTTTTCTGCGAGCATGTTTCTAAGTGGGTGATTGGTTGAGATGTATCTGTAGTCTGTAGAATTTTTGCTATACGGTTTCTGTTGTATCTGTGTTGGCTGTAGTTGTAGTTTTTTTTATTTGTAGGTATTATAATAGTAAAGTTAAAGCCTGATTGGTAAAGTTAGTTCAATATTATAGATTGAAATTTGAAGTATATGAATTTAAAAAAATTGCAATATATTACATACGATAACAGATGAACATATAATAAATAGTAAGTTTCATATATAAATAACTAGAAAGCTGCCCACGCGATGCGTGGGTTATATATTTAATATTAATTCTGAATAATTATGATATTTGTATTAAAGTAATACGTTCGATTATTAATATAGTTTTTTGAAAAGAATTTTTTTAAATATTAACTTTTATGTTTCTTTTCGAATTACTTTTGTGAATAGCTAAAAAATAAATTCTGTTCTTTTTTTTATTCAAGATGGTATGACATAAATATATATCACTACTTTTTCTTCATTTACATAAAATATTTTATTGTAGAAATATATATATCATACCTCATTATAGAGTCTCTTGTTTGCTGCTTCATGATCCTTGGATTGGGAAAACGGCCAAAATCAACTTCAACTATTTCTATGCGGCTTTTTTCATCCCAAACTCTGACCCCCGGAACTAATCAACTCGAACTCATACAATTTTTAAAAAACAAACCTAAACTATCTAACCTAGAGGTGTCAGACGGGTCGGCCCGCGTCCATCTGGGCCGGCCCGCGATGGACATTTGAGTTTGTGTGACCGCGATGGGCCGGCCCGTTAGGACCGCGGGCAAAAATGATATGTCCAGGACCGCCCCGCTAAGCCCAACAGGTTAGCGGGCCGGCCCGCGGGCTTAGTTTTAATATTTTTAAAATAAATAAAAATAAAAATAATTTTTAAAATTTGAAATTAACAATTTTTCAATTTTAAAAAAACTTTTAGTATTAAATTTTTTTGTAAATCTTATAATTTTATACATTAAATTGTGTTATATGTTCATAAATTTCACATATATATTTTCAGAATTATGTAAAAGTATTTATTTATTTATATTAATTATTTATTTTTATTAAATATTTGTAGTCCGTGGGCCGATCCGCAAATCCGCGAACAAAACCCGCAAAAACCTGCAATCCGCCTCGGCTTGTCCGCGAAGCCCGCTATTTTATGGACATGAAAAATGATGTCCAAGCCCGCCCCGCCGTGGGTTACTTGGACAAAGCCCGCGGGCTATCGGCCCGTTATCCAATTTCAACACAATTTTTTTTTTTTGTATTTGTTAATGTCGATTAGAATTGTTAAGTCGTAATTATATGTTCTTTTGTATCTGAATCATTCCTTTTATTCAATTGGCTAAAGGTTAAATAATTCAGGTTTGTTACATTATTTAATAACATGTATATGTTAAAATTGGCTAACGATTACATAGTTCATGTTTGTTATTTGACATTTATGTGGTTTCGAGTTGATAATTGGGGTTGATATTGGCCGTTTTCCCTCGGTGGATCTCATCAGAAGGTAGATCTTCCCGATCTCATGACTTTCCCTCGAAAATAAGGTTTAGATATTATATCCATATAATCCATAATAAAATTAGGAGATCAAAGGTAAAACATATTCATATTTATTATTATTTTTGCTAAATTTTATCTGTATATGTTAAAAATTTAAGAAAAAAAATAAATAATTTGTGATAATGACTAAATTTAATAAAATAGCAAGGTGGTCCAAATGAGCAAAAACATATTTTATATATGTTAATCTGGGTTTTTCACATCTCTCTCTCGCTTCCGACTCAACACAGCTAGTCAAAGCTTTAAAATCGGAGCTTCAACACAAGGACCTTCATGGGATTCTCTTCGATATCCTGAATTTATCTTCTACCTTTGATGTTATTTCGTTTAGTTTCATTCCCCGTTTGCAGAACTCAGATACCGATTCATTGGCAAAACAGTCTCTGGTTTCTCTTGTAATGGGTCTGCCCCAAACCTAAGTTAAATTGAATAAGTCTTTGCGCAAAAAAACAAATATATATGTTACACGTAATTATAATCATATTTAATTTAGAAAAATGACTTCAGATGATATAATAAAAAATTTATTTTTGAAAGTTTATTTTAAAAAACTTTAGTTCAGTTTTAATATATATATATATATATACAAAAAATTTCAATTGTTTGAAAACAAAATGAATATGCCATTTTATAAAATTTGTATATATATATATATATATATATATATATATATAAATATATATAGGTCATAAGAGTACAAAAATTTAATAAATATAATGTAATGCCGTTTATCTAAATACTTTAATGGCATATTAGGTTTTAACTGAATTAGTCAATTAGTATATTCTATGCAAATGCCCTTAGCAAACATAATTCTTTTCAAAAATCCTATGAGGGTAGATTAAAAAAAAAAACCTTTGGTGGAACTTTTTGAATTTTATGGTTGAATTTTATTGGGTTGGTTTTATGGAAACCTTGATAAAAATAAATACATATTTTATATTCTTTCATATGATCTTTATTTCTTACTTAATTTGTATGATAAACTAAAAAAAATTGAATTCAAAATATAATCAAGTCAAATGTTATACAATATTAAAAATTTTTAAAAAAACTATTTACTCGAGATATATGGGTATCCCTTCAACAAGTATTGTCGCTGCAGCTCTCTCGTCGCATAGGCGCCGTAGACATCGAACTAATGTTCTGAACCAGATTGAGGATGAAATGGATGCTCTCCGCCTTCGTTCTTCCAATACTGGTAACGACGTCTCACTTTGGAAACGAATCAATGGCTCTTTCAAAAGCAAGTTTAACTCTCAGCAAACTTGGCACGCGATCAGGCAATCTAATCCAATCTGTGATTGGTACAAGGGTGTATGGTTCCAACACTCCACACCCAAGTATTCATTCATAGCTTGGATAGCCATTCGTAATCGCCTTGCTACAGGAGACAGGTTAGTGAAGTGGAATGGGGCTGCAAATGGAAGTTGTGTTTTTTGTCAAGCGGATGTTGAGACAAGGGACCATCTCTTCTTCTCTTGCCCCTATTCCACTCAAGTTTGGTCAGCTCTAACCAGAGAAATGCTAGGCCTACGGTTTTCAACACGTTGGGAGTCTCTTCTCCCTCTAATCACATCTTCGAATTCTCCACATCTCCATCATTTTGTGTTGATATATGTCTTTCAGCTCTCTATATACAGTCTTTGGCGAGAAAGGAACGGGAGAAGACACGGGGAGTCGCCAACTCCTGCTTCCACGCTCTCAAAACTAATTGATAAGAATATGAGAAACCGGCTAAGTTCCTTGGCATTGAAGGGTTCAACCGCTTTCGAAGGCGGGCTGCGCTATTGGTTTAGTACTCATACTCGCAACTAATCCTCTCATGTTGTAATCTCTCCAAATATTTTCAGATTTTCGGTTTGATGATGCATTTATTGTAAAACAGTTTTTTTGTGAATAAATTTTACATTCATACAAAAAAAAAAAAAAAAAACGTCGATCCCTCTCAAACGTTGGGTAATTATGTAAAAGAAATAAAGAATGGCATCAACTATCTGATTTTTTTTTTTGACTCATGATCCCATGAGTTTTACGTATTTAAGAACAAAATCATCTTGAAACAGCTTTATATATTCATAAATTTGATAACAAATTCTTAACATTTTGATAAGTGATGTTGAGAATAATTACATAAATGGTTTTTCAATTTATATCATAAATTTTTTTAACATACTTATGGTTTTCAAATTTATGAATACATATAGATCATAAGAGTAAAAAAATTTAATAAATATAATGTAATATCATTTATCTAAATACTTAAAGTTATAATTACACTTTAACTGGCCAAAATAATAGATATAAATTTTCTCAATGTATGTATATAAATCTTATTGGTGAGTTGAAAAATAGAGAAACAATTAAAAATAGAACTTAAAAAAAAAAAAATAGAACACTTTTATGTAGAACTAATGGTGTTGGTGAATCTAATTTGAACACCATATGAAATCACAAACCTAACTTGAACACCAAATGAGAAAACTTTGTAGATATTTTTACTATATGGACGATAGCATGAAATAAAGAGAAAGCAACTAAAAGTCAATAAAAAATAAAAGAACGGACTCGAAAAAGCAAAAACTCCACAATAGTTTTTTTAGCTTCACATGTGGGTAATATATAGAAGTAGACTTAGCGTACATGTTTGTGAATTAATTAGATTTAATGTTTGTTTTGAATTAATTAGAGTTATTGTGGTTATCTATTAGCCTAATCACTAATGCATCAATTTAGACTTATTTGACGTTACATATGTTTTAATAAGTTCATTTGTGGGTTTTACTTTGGGTAACTAATTCCAGAACAAAAAAAAAAACACTAATATATTTCGGTATTAGAAGCCACATGAAAAGTGTTAATGGAGAAGAAAATTCGTTGCAAACATTTATTTTGAGAGAAGACGTAACACATGGAGCAATACATTAATATAATGCACGCTACTATATTTCTTTATTAAAATTATATTGACTGTTATATAAATTAGAATTTTATTCACTGAGACATTTATAAAACAATATATGGGATGACATATTAAATTTAATAATTCCTGTAAATTATATTATACTATATAAATACATTAAATGTATTGTGTAATAAAAATTCTAAATAAATACTCTAACTTGGAGTTGTAACGTGTGAGAATAAATTGGTGTTATAAATTTTTTTTAAAAAAAAGTTAGATTGGAAAGAAGAAAAAAAAAGAGAAATTGTTTTTATAAAAAAAGTTAGATTGGAAAGAAGAAAAAAAAAGAGAGACAAATTAGAAAAGATTAGAAATGTATTTTATGGAGATATTAAAATATTATGTAAGATAGAAAAATGAGGAAAACAATTAAATTTAAAAATAGATGCCAAATGTACTAATATTATGAGAAGTTTAAAAAATGTACTAATATTTTGTGAAGTTAAAATTTTACTGATCCATCATTTTGAATTAGATGAATAAGTAGTGATTTTAAGTAGATAATAATTTTGGCAAAACAAATTAGATACAAATTTCAATTTAAATACATGTCAATGTATCAATAGGATAAGAGAAATATCTTTTTTGGAATTAAATTGTAGGCACAAACTTTCAAAACTAAGGATTTTAAATAAATTAAAACAAACATTAATGAAATAAAGGAAGACACATGTCACCAAAAGAGAGTGCCAAATGTCGCAATGGTAGGAAAAGTTAGAAGAAAACCTTCTCATATTATATAAGATACATTAGACAATTTTGGTGAAAATATATATTATAATATATAATTTATATTAATGAAATGAAATATGTATATATATATAATTTATATAATTTTTTGTCACTTTGGTAAATATATTGTTTTTTCTTATTCTTAAAGTATCATGTACTAATATGCAGTAAAAATAATAATTAAATATAGAAGAAAAAAATATCAACAGCTCTTAAAATACACAAAAGTATGTTGTAGAAATTTTAAGAGTTACAACAAAAAAAATATAAAAAAAGTTGTTTTGGGCTGTGAGATTTTTTAAGAAAGCTAAAGCTTGATTGGTTCAATATTAAGTCTTTTAACTTTTTTTGAGCTGTACTATAAAAATAGAGCCTAACCAATCACACCCTAAATAAATATAATATTTTATGTCTATATCTGTCATATAGCGGACCGGGCTGAGCTTGGCCTGTGGGCTTAGGCCCATTTGACACATCTAGGTTTGATGAAGGAATTTTATTGGTTGGCATGGCATAATCCAACTTAAACTTATAAAGTTATAATTATGTATAATGTCATCTTAAATAATATATAATATATATGAGCAATGAAGGAATTCGTTGCCAATCGAATCTTTGTCATGCTATGCCAATTAGGAAGACCGCCGTTCCTACAATATGCCGATTAGGAAGACCGCTAGGACAGAGCTATCAACTGCAATACTATCAAAGAGGTGGCCTAATTGGTGTATCTCAAATTACAATAAACACAACCTAATCCGTTGACCCGGAAAGATACTGACACAAAACGAGATCCTCTTCATTCGAGAACAATGCTTTTACGTGTTGTCTTCTTGTATTTCGTTGAAACCCTCAAAGGGATATCGAAACAAGGAACTTAGAAAACAATCTCTTTTATTATAACTCAACCAAAGCCAACGAACAAAGAACGTGAAGCAAAGCTACATATACTACTAAAGATAAGACTAAATCGTCAACGACATATCTAATAAAACCAAGATATACTTGGAGATCAAGCAACCTCCTTACCCAGACGCAAATTTCTCAAAGCAAAAATAAAAAACCGTACGATAACAAATAGATAGAAAAAACCTAACAAATAAGAAAACATATATGGCGCTACATCACTAATCCCCTAGCTCCTTAGTGTCGCTAGGAGTTACGAGTCATGAGCCTCTTGGAGTATTTTCCATAGTTAACTGAGTGGGATCCTTATGCCCATCAGCCCATGCCTATTCAATATTTTTTACTTTAACCATTTCCTTCCATTGTTCTTGATATGTTTCACCAGATATAGCTATACGAAACTAGATTTTAAGCTTATAAGTTATAACGAACAAGAAAATGAGTTTTTCTAAATTTCCGAGTTTATGGCCGCCGCGTTCTAAAACAAGATTTGTGACCATCTCCTCGCCAAATGTAAGTTTCTGATAGTTCATAAAATTGGGTTGGGACGAAAAGGCAACCAATAAGATGATAGAAATTGATCGGTGGCTAGAGCTGCTTTTAGGGCACGAGTTGAACATGTTATCAAACCTAATAAAAGGCCTGGGCATTCGGGTATCCGTATCGGTTCTTTTTTTTTCAGGTTTCGGGTCTATTCGGGTAGGTGGGTCGAGACCCATTCGGGTATTCTAAATATTCGGTTCGGGTTCGGGTCGGTTCGGATATTTTAATAAAGAAGCAAAATATCCAAAAATACCCAAAAATACCCGAAATATTGTCGGGTTCGAGTTTTTTACTCGTATATACCCAAATCTAACGAAAATACTCGATTTCTCAAAAATACATTGGTTACTCTTTACCTAAATATAACCAAAAATATCTAAAAATACTAAAATTACCCGAAAGAAAACTACATCATTAGTTACTTTTTAACCAAATTACATCCAAATGTATCCGAATTACTCAAAAATACCTAGTATATTCGGATTTATGATTGTGATTTTAGGTATTTCGGATATTATAAGTATAAATATAACTAATATTTTTAGGTGTATATTTGTATTCGGGTACCCATGGGTATTGGATTTGGTTCGGGTTCGGTTCGGATTTTTTTTGGGTAGGAAGTCTAGGACCCATTTGGGTATTTTAAAAATCGGTTCGGATTCAATTCGGATATTTTTTCGGATTTTTCGGTTCGGGTATTCGGCTCCGGGTATTTTGTCGAGGCCTAATTCACGTATTCATGGTTAGAAATTTGGTGACAATTAAGCTTATCCTATCTTTGATAACTTGGTTTTTAATTGTTTCATTATTTGTATAAAAAGATCCTTTATATTTTTCCAAGTGTATTATATTATTATTAACCCACCAAAAGGGAAACAAGTACCTTAAAGCCTACAACGATTTGTGCAGAAATAAAAGTGAGGCCCAACATAGCTTACTAAATTAACATCTACGGCAGAAAGATGTTTGACATTGGACTCTGTCCAATACAAGTGTCGACATGAGATTATAACTGCAACACATGATGAAGAGTCATAGAAAGTGTAATGACATCAACCTTCGCCGCAGACGAACACCGAATCCAGTGAGGAAAGCATTGTTAAAACATCGCACGGAGAATCCTTGTTACCACCGAAATAAATCTGAATGGTGCTCCATTTAAAAGACAGGACATAAGGGAATCGTAATAAGCATCGAAATATTTTTCAATCCTCAACCCCAAGACATAATCGCTTGAAAGTTTTTATGCAAATCGAAGTTTCTAAAGACACAAGACATAAATTAATTTTAAGCAACTAGCACCTAAAACTAATTTCAGATCTATTGAAATTTATTGAAAAAGAAAACTAAAAAGAACAAAGCAATCAGTATAAAACTGATCGACTACGAGCAAGGATACAAGCGACCAAAACCTCTCATGGAAGAAGGATTTGCTGAATAGGAACCGGTCATCGCCACTAAAGGAGCGGGAAGATACCGGGTAAAAGCCCGAGTCACTCGGAACGGCTATTAACGGAAAATTCTGGTCGGCAGAGACCAAACGCTTTCCCTCTCTGAAAGTTTTGAGAGAGAAAAGAAGTAGATTTTTAAGTTATGTAAAAATATATATATGTATTTAAATAAATACCAATGTCCAATAGTTTAAAATAAATAAATGAATTGAGTTTGCAAAATATAGCACGCTACTCATACCATTTCTAAGACTATAATTTGGTTTCGATTTTATTTAGTGTTTTAATTCCAATAAATTCTAGTGCATAGTAAATTTTCTCAAAAGGTAAATTTTCCCAAAATATGTTGAAAGTTTTTTCTTAAAAAAGTACTAATGGCGATTAGTTGAGTTTCTACAAAATACAAATAAGGGCCGACTGAGTTTTCTCAAATTTTATTATGCTAAATATCACATCATTTCCTCTAGATTGGGTTATCAATCACAAAGTGACTTTTTAATTAACGTGTGTTTGCCAATAAAAAAATATCACATCATTTCTAAAATTAATGGATTTGTCCTTTTTAATGTTTGAATACGAAAAATTTCTATAATAAAATTATCTTAATATAATAACCGCTTTTTCGAAATATGTAAAAACGACAAAAAATATAATGACAAAGAAATTTAGTTTTGACAAAACATGAATTGCTAGTTTGCTACTAATTGAGTTTCGCAAAATATATAATGCTATATATCATACCATTTCTAAAACTATAATTCAATTATTATTGTATTCAACTTTTTAATTCTTGTAAATTCTAGTGCATAATAATTTTTCTCAAAAAAAAAAAAACTTTTTCCAAAATATGTTAAAAGTGTTTTTTTTTTAAAAGTACTAATGGCGATTAATTGAGTTTCTACAAAATACGAATAACGACTAAAGTAGTTTTGGAAAAATTTATTATGTTAAATATAATATCATTTCTAAAATTAAATGGATTTGTCGTATTTGAATACGAAAATTTTAAGTTTTAAAATATGCGAAAACGACAAAAATATATTAATTACAAAGAAATTTAGTTTATACAAAACATGAATGGCTATTAATTGAGTGTCCTCTAAATTTATTATGATAAACCATTTCTAAAAGTACAAAGATTCGTTTTTTCAATGTTTGAACTGCATATTAAGGTATAGATTTGACTATATATAGTCATTAGGACCTTAACAGAGTTAATATATACAAGGAAGAGTGAGCCAAGGAACTCCAAAATAAAATAAAGAGCCTTCTCTCTCTCTCTCTCTCCCTCTGAGAAAAAACACATATAGCCAATGACCTTCTCGTGGTCTTCTGTGCCATAAAAGCCATTATATAACCATTCAAACACAATCTGGCGCCACATATACATATGTACTAGTGTATGTATATGTCTTAACCTCTATATATTCATATCTCTCTCCTTGTGTGAGTGGTGCGATGGGTATCCCCATAAGCTGCAACATTGAACCATCTGCAACATTTTGACTCGTTTTCCTTTTGTGTTTTTCCAACATCTGTCTCTTCTTCACTCGCTCTCTCCTAATCAATCTCCCCAACGACCTCTCTTTTTTTTTTTCATTCATACCTCTCTTCATCTCTCTCTCTCTGCCCGGAAAAATGGATAACTTCTTGCCCTTTTCCTCTTCTAACGCAAACTCTGTCCAAGAACTCTCTATGGATCTTAACAACAATCGTTCGCACTTCACAACGGTCCCTACTTATGATCACCTGGCTCAGCCTCATCACTTGATGCCGCCTTATTCATACCCGGTGGAGCAGATGACGGCGGTGACGAATCCTCAGCCCGTTTACTTCTCGGAGGGTTATCCTCAGATCCCGGTTACGAAAACCGGAAGTGAATTCGGTTCTCTGGTTGGTAATCCTTGTTTGAGGCAAGAGAGAGGTGGTTTTCTTGATCCGCGTATGACGAAGATGGCAAGGATCAACAGAAAGAACGCGATGATCAGATCAAGAAACAACTCTAGCCCTAATTCCAGTCCAAGTGAGTTGGTTGATTCAAAGAGACAGGTGATGATGCTTAACTTGAAAAATAACGTGCAGATCTCCGACAAAAAAGATAGCTACCAACAGTCCACATTTGATAACAAGGTTTGTTTTTTTGTTGGTCCCAATTTTTTAATATATACGATTTTTTTTTGGTTTTTTTTGGTTTTCATGTTAATATATGAATATATACGATTTTGATTATATAATATTTTATGATACAATTTTTAATTGTTTTATATTGTTTGGTTGTTGGTTGTAGAAGCTTAGGGTTTTGTGTGAGAAGGAATTGAAGAACAGCGATGTTGGGTCACTCGGGAGGATAGTTTTACCAAAGGTATGTGAATTCTTAAAATTTATTTTAATTTCTCTAACACATACCTGGTAAAAATTTCAGTTCCTTTTCAGTATTTTCTATTTTTTCTGTTACTGTATAATGAGAAATGAAATGCATTTGATGAAATAATAATCATCAATCACGTACGTAATTTAAAATTTAAAACACATTCCCATGTAAAAATAAAGTTATTTCATCAGGATTAGATTTCCATCATTTTATAAAAGAGATTTGTGGAACGAAAGCACAAAAATCATTGCGGCCACAGATTCTCTCATTATTCAATTTCACAGAGTATTTATTACACATTTCATTTTACATTCAAATTTTATATAATATGTTTATCGAACTGTTTTTCTGTTTAACCAATAAAACGTTTTACGTCTTTAAAATTAAGTAACGACACGAAAACAAGATGAATATGAAACATGAGAAGAAAATGTGGACTGAAATAAAGTTGTTTAATCGAATTTTGGTTGGTTTCGGTACGAATTTTAATATTTTTGATTTTTTAATTTAGTAAGGAATTAATTTAAATGTTATAGTTTTATGTTTGAACTATATTTTTAAATTATATCTTAAATTTATACAGCTTCTTCCTTCAATGAAAAATATGAATTACTAAGTTTTGTTATTTGTATTTGGATAAAATGAAAAATTTAAAATGAGTTTAGAGTAAAATTGGGTTGAAGAAAATGTAAACTCGTTTATATGCCTTTCCTATTTAATTGTCCCTTAAATGGTTTACCTCGAAACCATTATGGGAGAGTAAACAAATCAAAAAATCATTATGGAAAAGATTTTACATATCTTGGTTTTTTATTAAACTTTAATTAATTTTATTTTAATGAAATATATCGTTCTTATTTTTCTTAGTAAGAAAGTAATACGTGAATCATGGCTTTGGAATGCAGAGAGATGCAGAAGCAAATCTTCCGAAGTTATCTGATAAAGAAGGAATCGTTCTAGAGATGAGAGATGTTTTCTCTATGCAGTCTTGGTCTTTCAAATACAAGTAAATAAGTCGCAATTTCTAATCCATTTTTCATTTCCCAATTAACAACCTTAATTTCATGCTCAACTTTTAGTGGCTTTTTTGGTTACCGGTTTTCATACTTATTTTAAAATTTTGATTTTTTATCAATTGGGAAAAGTAAACTAGAAGACTAAATGTTTGTATTAATGACATAGGTTTTGGTCCAATAACAAGAGCAGAATGTATGTCCTCGAGAACACAGGTAAATTAAGGAGCTCCAATAGTATTTCAAAAGTACAAAATCTTCTGTAAAACTACTTTTAATTATGATTTACTTTTTCATTTTTTTGTGGTGATAACTAAAGGAGAATTTGTGAAGCAAAATGGAGCAGAGATGGGAGACTTTTTAACAATATACGAGGACGAAAGCAAGAATCTCGTGAGCTCTCTATTAACTTCATTTCCTTATTTAATTTTATAAAAAAAAAAAAAAAAGACAAAAAGAAGTTAAATAATGATTAATTAGTAGTCCAAACTTGGAAATTTAAAAAGTGGTCATGATATTGAGTTTGTTAAGCATCCAGACAAAACTTTATTGCCTTTTTGACCTTTTTCTGTCAATGATAACTGTTCTTATATGGTAAGGTATAAAATCTTGTAAAAGCTGGATTGTTAAAGAACGAAATATAGTGAAAGAAAATGAGATGAGTGTGTATACATGTTATAGTATAAAACATATTTAAGTTATATAGAGTTTATAATAAAAAAATGGTTAATTTAGAGTTTATGATTATGGTTTGATTTAGTTGCTAAAAAATAATTATGGTTTGAGTAGGTTTGATTAGGACTTATGACTTATGTGTGTGTGTGTGTGTAATCGCTTGTTCTTATTACAGTACTTCGCCATTAATGGGAATTCGGGAAAACAAAATGAAGGAAGAGAAAATGAGTCGAGGGAAAGAAACCACTACGAAGACACAATGCTTGATTACATATCAAGAGACGAAGAGGAAGCTTCCATTGCAATGCTCATCGGAAATCTAAATGATCACTATCCCATCCCTAACGATCTCATGGACCTCGCCACTGATCTTCAGTACCATCAAGCCACGTCCTCAGTGCCACCTGAGGATCACGCGTACATGGGTTCGTCCGATGATCAAGTGAGCTTTAACGACTTTGAGTGGTGGTGATATGGTGGAAGTTCTCAAGTTCATATAGCTACCCCCTTATGAAAATAGACCTTAAGATATACAAGAGAGATTAAAAGAAAAAGATAGTATATTTCATCGTATCCGAGATATTCAACATGAGATTCATATCTATAATTGCTTTATAGAGTGTTTTTATTAATTATCAATGTATTAAAGTTTTTAATTAAGAAAAATGATCATTTGTCTTCAGTATTACTTTTTTATTACAAAAAATTTCATTATGAGTTTTATTACCCGGAAGAGATTATCGACATCTTATTAGTAAAAACCGTATAAAGCTTTTTATATAGTAATTAGAGATATGGATTTTTGGGATTATATACCAATTAGTTGAATTCCGTGACAAGTTAATCGCCAGGCAACGACATAGGTGCTGGATTGGTTATAACGTCCAAATAATTTCTTCATAGCTAACTTGTAAGAATTGTCGATAACTTTTGAAATTTAATTTGTCAAAAAATAAAATAAAATTAAATAGTGTTTATAATATGTTACTAATAAATTTGTCAAAATGATTTTTTTTCAGAAAAATAAAATTAAATAGTGTTTATAATATGTTTCTGTAAATATCTTCTTTTTCTTTAAAAAAAATCATTTTGCTTTCTATTTACACATTTAAGTATTTAACCATAATATAACTTGGAAATGCCTTGCCTTACACGCGATGAACAGTATCGCCTACAAGTTTTCTTTTCATTTGTTTTTTGGTCGGCACCTACAAGTTTTTTAAAAAGGATGATGCATAGTTTAGGACCTGATTGGCAAGTGCTTTAGAGTCTTTACAAAGCAAAAAAATTTCTAAAGATTTGAAATACATCCAATCAAGCTTTAGAAGCTTTGGCTTTCCTTTTTTTTCTCACAGCCAAAATATTTCTTTAATTTACTTTTTTGGCTGTAAAAAGCCTTTTTTCCTAAAGCACATAATTTTCAACTTTCCAAATTTTAAATTCTATAGCCAAAATTCTACAGCAATAAAATCTACAGCCACAGCAAATAAACCTATAATCATATTTCTACAGCAAAAAATGTAAGCCCATTAGTTTAGTAGTCGCCAGTCGGTAATTAGAAAATCAAGATAAGTTATGAGGCCTCGATTCCCTAAACCCTAGCCCAGATTTTGTAATTCCAATCCTCTAAGCCTAGCCTAGATTATAATCCAAGCCCAAAACTATTACTAATATACTCTGTACATATACCGAGCTCTTATAAGTTATATCCGTAGCCCATACTCTGTAAGTATATAGCCCAAGTGCCCAACAGAGTTAATACACTTCAAAACCAATAGTCTTAAGTGTCTAACCCTTACCTGGGACACTACACTGAACCTCCGAAAATAATAGAGCTAAAAATTTCATGCAACACGTAGGTATAATTTACAAATTACAATCGTTTTTGTGAAAGAAAAAACATGTAAGTTTATGACATTCAACCTCTTATCATAACCTAGTCAATTTGATATTTTGATATGTAGATACTATGCTGTAAATAATAGAATTCACTTCAAAATGAATCCACAAGATTAATTATCTTCGGTAAATGATATACATTTAGCTGTGGAACCAAATTTCTTAAGAGTTACTCTTAATTTGATCTGACAATCCGATCGAAAGTTTATCCAAATGAGCGTCAAATTTATCAGTAAATTTGACACTAAAAATATCTATATGGAGTCTTAATTAGTACATTATCATGTTTCAAACTTTTAGCAAAAAAAACATGTTACAAACTACAATCAAATTGTATATGCATATTTTATGACATTACATGTTTGATATCCACTTGATCTTGAGTAACTACAAACCCGATTTTTTATATAAAATTATAACAAATACTCTCTCCGTCCCACAAAGATGAAGTTTTTAGAAAAAAAAATTGTCCCACAAAGATAGAAGTTTTGTGTTTTCAATGTCAAATTTAAAATAGTTTACCGATTTTACCTTAGTAAACAACAATAAATAATATACTCTTTAAAATATGTTATAAGGTTAAAAGGTTAAAATTATCATTATACATTATTTCTTAAAAAATGTGAAATTTCTAAAAAAATTTATCTTTATAAGACGGAGGGAGTAATATATTAGATTAAAACGTAAATCTAGTGATCTTTTTATTTTGGATTTACACGCTATCGATTTTAAACATAACATTTTAAAATTAGATCTGGGAAATAAATGTAAAATATCCAAATTTAATAATCTTGCTGTTCTCCAGGATATGCTCCTGGCTTTGCTCCGAAGGATGATTGCAGAATTTCACGTGAATACATGAGCAGAGAAGCTAGTTTCGCTATTAGTAAATATATAAGTCTCACTCTCTCAGATATACTGTATTTTGATTTTCTCATCTATGCCTTTTTTTTTTTTTTTTTTCATCAATTTTCTCATCTATGCCTAAGTCACCTATAATAAACTAATAAAAAGCTAGTTGACTTATAGTTATTCGGTCATAACTCATAATAGTTGACATCAAGATCTAGGCACAACAAATCATAAAACAATTCTACATTTTAGCGTTGGATACGAATACAACAAAACATTTTTTGGTTATTACTTATAAATTATGATAAAATAAAATTTTCTAAGATCTTAACTTTAATCAGCTCAAAAACATTACACATCTGAATAAAATACTATGACAATATATAACAACACAATAAAAAATGCAGGGGTAATTGAATTTGAAGTCAAAAATGAAAACTGAAATTTGCTAGAACTACTGACACTAAAAATGAATTTGAAAACAAAATATTATTTAAAATAAAAAATATTGATTGAATGATTATTAATATTTGTAATATAATTACTATGCCCCCGAAAATATTAAATTTATACAGTAGAAGTTTTGCTGTAGATGTATAGTTTTAAAATTTTATAGTAGTCCGAGACTCCGAGTGAGTGAATTTACTGACAATAACATTTAAAAAATTCCTTAAAACAGTTATAACCCATTTTTTAAATCATAGTTTCATTAAACTATAACGGATTCCAACTCCCAAGTACGTAAATTCCTAAATAAAAAAAAGTAGGAAGCGTGGAATTCAATTGGACATTAAATGTCATCATGTGATATATATGTCATATGTGGACTATGAAACTATGTATGAACGCAAGTGCGGTGGGCTGTGGGCATTTCGGTTTAGCTTCGGGTTCGGTTTAGATTGGTTCGGTTCAGTTTATTTGGATTTTGTAAAATTCTAACCAAATTCAACCGAAATTAGTTTGGTTTGGTTTGTGGTTGGGTCAGTTTATGTTCGGTTTGGTTTTAGTTCGATTCGTTTTAGTTCGGTTTACAAAATTAATTAATATAACAAACCAAAATTCTTTACTTCATTATCGTTTCAACTTTGAACATTGAACTTGATAATATTTAAAATAATTAAGCAACAAATTTAAATTGAATAATTCACCATGAAAAGAATAATTTCAATGAACAATTATATATTTAGTTATTTATAATATTATTAATCTAATTAACTAATTATTTAAATCAACATATTGGGATATCGGTTCGGTTTTAAACCGAACCGAAGCGACCCATTTGGGTTGAGAAGAAACATACCCGAACGGTTAGGGTCTAAGCTTGGGTTTGGTTTGGGTTGGTTTGAGTTCGGTTGGGTTGGGTCAGTTCGGTTCGGTTTGGTTAAAATGTCCACCTCATAATCGAGTTGGTAATAAAGCATATATTTCCTCTGTTTCATAATAAGTATCGTTTAAGGTTTTTACACACATATTAAGAAAACAATTAAATTTTCTGTTTTACCTATAATCTATATATTTTATTATTTTTTCATTGGTTAATACAATAAATTAGTATGGACAAAACTGAAAATTTTACCAAACATCTACATTGAGAACACAAAACGACACTTATTTTAAAAAAAAATTTAAAGGCTAAAACGACATTTAATATAAAACAGAGGGAATTTGAATATAGCAAATATGCCAACTAAAAAACTTATACTTAGAAAAAGTATATATAAACAAGCCAATAAGGCAATCATACAATCAATAACTAATGAAATTACATTGCTAGTATATACGTAGGATTTATCATATTATGAACTATCATGTATTAACGATTTGGATCAATATTCGAAATATAAAATTTTCTCTGCGAGCACAGCACAAATTATTTAGTTATCTAATAAATACTGTATATCATGAGCCTAGCTATATAATAAAAGCAGATCTTGGGTCAAAAGTTTTATACTTCATACGTTTCATAATATACGGTTTTGGACTTAGTTTTTTGTTTCATAATAGAAAACGTTTTTGAGTTTCGATACAAATTATATATTATTTTAATATTTTATAATTATTTATATTATACAGTTTTTTTATGATTGGTTAAACTTTTAAAAATATCTACGTGTTTCTATCTAAAACGAAATGAAGAGAGTATAAAGGTAGCAAAACGTCACTAAGTATTAAATCCAAACATTTCACCAAGGTATTATAACGACAATTGGTCATGATTAGTTTTGACTTTTAAGGGATCGAACTTAAATTTTTTGTTGATGTGAAGATCCGACAACTACAGGTCTAATAACAAAACCTAATCGTTCATATAGACTTGGGAACAAGAGCATGAATTAAATAGGATAAGATGAAACATATATTTAAAACTTAAAAGTGTTAATTAAGGGTATATGTATATTTCATGTATGTATTCGTCTGTCTAAGAGTTTATTTCTTAATTATATTTATTATCGTTTTCGTTTGAAGTATATCAGAAAAGAAAATGTTTTACTTTTTATTCATCATAATCCATAACGGCAAAACATATAACACGTATTCTCACGTTGAAGATGAAATATATACACAATTTATAACCTTCAGAGATTGGGGAATCAAATTACCAAATTTTAAATTTGCAACAATGATATTATCCTATTACTAATGAAAATTTATATACACACAAATGTAAGGACAAAGACTACACGAAAGTAGCCATATTTCTTGGAGGGAAATGTGGTAAGTTAACGATGCATACTTTTTTGGGCGCATTTATTATTTTTTATTAAATTCAGTAAAACGTAAAAGCAAAGAGAATCATTCCAACGACAAGAATGATTAGTCTACTATGTAAATGTAATGATACATCATCGCGTTATCGGATTTAAACTTTTAAAAAACTATGGCCCATAATTGTGTTATATCTCTAGGGAGATGTTAGACCAAAGCATCCAA